ACACAGGAAATATGTGATCGTTACTTGTCTTTTTAAATATGTAAGCAAATAGTCTAATGGTCCAAATTTGCAGCCTCTTATTATTCTCTGCAGGGTAGTCTTTATTGAAGCACTAAAGCTAATGCTAAATACAGTCAAAAACAGCAACTTATTGTCGGTCACAGTATAAGAGAAATCATTATGCAAAGATATCTTAGTCATTCAAAAAGAGAAGATGAAATTACCTCTGGTCAGGGGGCTAAATTTTTCAACTGTATCTCGTTGTTGCCCACCAAGCACAAGGCAGTGATCCCTGAAGCCCAGCTTTTTAAGGAAATTGTACTGATAGATGTTATTTAATGGCAGCATTTTCTCTAAACATCTTCTTACTATTATAGTGGCCTCTTCTGTACTACAGAGACTTCAGCTGCGTGCCCTGTCCCACCACACAGAGCTTTCTACAAGCAACACTGTAACTGTCAGGTTTCATCGCTGAACCCCCAGCATACACCTAGCTCAGTGACCGGATAGTCAGGGGCTTGATAATATATAACCAATAAATGACTTCCTTTGAGAATTCCACATTTTGTTTTTGAGGTTAAAGGTGCTTTTGTATTTAGGCAACAAAAACTGTCCCTAAATCTGTAAATTAACTGACATTCTCCAAGCAAGCTGCATTTCCATCTGTTGGAGGTAGACAGCGTTGATGTGCTTTTGCTCTAGCAAATAGCTTCCCACTCTCCATTTTATCTTTCTCACTTGCAAGTTCCTAAGAGGAGCTCTGTTCCATGGCATGCCTGGCAGTAGTTTAAATGGTCTTCCATTTCATTAAGAACATAAAGCATGTTTCATGTTTCATTACAGTATTAGCTCCACATGGTAGTCTCTTTGAAATTAGATGCATCTCATCTTTCTATTTAACATCTTCCAGAATTTAATATGTTCTTCATCATCTACTAAAAGTACTTTTGATATGGACATAGGAAAGAGGCAGAATACAGAATATTTCCATTTAACATCTTTCAGAATTTAATGTTGCTTTTTATCATCAAAAGTACTTTTGATATGGACACGGTGAAGAAGCATGATGACCTTAAGATCTCTAACCTCTATGCAAGTGGATACACACTCATTACCAATAGGGGCGAGACAGGTAAAATAAATGACTGAAAGGAACTAGATGTAATAATAGCATTGCCATAATGAAAAAAATCATAACTAAGCTTAAGGATTAGAGGCATTAGGGAGTACTTGGGGACTGTGGCAAACGGAGCATGACTTTTTCTTTCAAAGAGGACAGCTACTACTTAACTACAACGATTTAGAAAACTGGCCCAGGTTTTGTTTCATTTTTGTGTGTGTGCAATTTTCTAAGAGAAGTCAGAAATTCAGAATTGATATGAAGTTTCCACACTAAAAAAATTTGGCAACTAATTCAAGCATTTTTGAAATGGTGCATGGCCCAAAACCGCTAGCCAAGAGGCCAAGTAAAATACATCTGCCTCCTAATTTATATTCTGAGCCATAGATTCCAGCTTGTGTCCTATACTTCTTTCAGATTTGATCGTGCAAAAGCAGTGTATTCTTACCATACACCAAAGAAAATTTCTGGTTGTATTAGTTTTTGGTTGTTTCATAACCAAATCATTATCACAGATTTAGCAGCTTGAAACAACACAATTTAGTATCTTTGAGTTTCTGAAATTCAGAAATCTGGGCATGGTATGACTGCTCAAGGTCTTGCCTGGCTGAAATCAGAATACCAGCTGAGGATAAAGGTTCTCTTCCAAGCTCATTGGTAGTTGGCAGAATTCATTTCCTTGTAGTTATAAAACTGGGGTCCCCATTTTCCTGCTATTTGTTGGCCAGGAATAGCTTTCAGTTGCTAGAGATAGTAACTGGAGATAGTCACCTGGAGAGATAGGTCATGGCCCTCCTGTTTCTAAAAGATGGCATCATTCTTTAACATTCATCACCACCTCTCCATGTCAGTTTACCCTGGGAACTGCAGAATGCTGCCTAGGTTGTTTGTATATTTTAGTGATTATGAATAATGCTGCAGTGAAATATGATGTACAACTGTGTGTGGACATATGTTTACGCTTGTCTTGAGTATATGCCTAGGGGTAGAATTGCTGGGTTGTATGGTAGCTCTTTAACTTTTTGAAGAACTGCCAGACTGTTCTCGAAAGCAACTGCACCATTTTACAATGCCATGAGCAAGGTATGAGGGTTCTAATTTTTCAACCTCCTTGCCAGCACTTGTTATCTGTCTTTTTGATTCTGGCTATCCTAGTGGGTATGAAGTAATACCTCATTATGGGTTTGATTTGCATTTCTATGGCTAATTTTTTTGGTGTTGCACATTTTGTGGATTTGAACAAATGTAGAATGACATGTACCCCTCATTGTAGTATCATATGGAGAATTTTTCACTGTCCTAAAAGTCCTCTGTGCTCTGCCTATTCTTCCTGTCCTCATAGTTTCACCTTTCCAGAAATCAAACAATCCGTAGCCTTTTCAGATTGCCTTCTTTCACTCAGTTATATGCATGTGAAGCTCCTTCTTATCTTTTCATGACTTGATAGATCATTTCTTTTTAGCACTGAGTAATACTTCATTGTCCGGATATACCACAGTTTATTCATCCACCTACTGTAGGACATCTTGGGCACTTCCAACTTTGGGCAATAATAAATAAAGCTGTTACAAACAATGCATGCAGGTTTTTGTGTGAACATAAGTTTTCAGCTCCTTTGGGTAAATACCCAGGAGCACAATGGTTCGATTGTCCAGTAAGACTATTCAGTTTTCTAAAAAAAATCCCTAAACTGTTTTCCAAAGTGTCTGTACCATTTTGCTTTCCCACCAGCAATGAATCAGAGTTTCTAATGATCCACACATTTGCCAGCATTTGGTGTTGTGAGTGTTCTGGATTTTGGCTGTTCTGATATTCGATCATTGTTTTTAATTTTTGCTTCCCTGATGACATAAGGGGAAGAGGTAGAACATCTTTTCATATGTTTGTTTGCCATCTGTATGTCTTCTTTGGTGAAGTCTCTGTTAAGATCTTTGGACTATTTTTAAACCAGCTTAAAAAAACTGGGTGTTTGTGGAATTTTAAGAGTTCGTTGTAGAGTTTGGATTAGAGTCCTTTATCAGGTGGCCTTTATCAGATGTGTCTTTTGCAAATATTTTTTTCTCAGAAGTCCAGCTTATTGATCGTTTCCTTCCTGGGTTGTGCCTTTGGTGTTGTATCTAAAAAGCCATAATCATACCCAGATCATCCAGATTTTCTCCTGTGTTATCTTCTAGAAGTTTTATAGTTTTACATTTTACCTTTAAGTGTATTACCAGTTTTTTAGTTAATTTTTGTGAAGGGCATAAGGACCATATCTAGGGTTTTTTGTTTTTGCATTTGGATGTCTAATTGTTCCCAGACCATTTGTTGGAAAGACTACCTATGTGCTCCATTGTATTTGCTCTCTTGTGCTTTCAGTTTAATTATATTTATGTGGATCTGTTTCTGAACTCTGTGCTGTTCCATTGATCTGTCAGTTCCTTTACCAATATACTGTGTTGATTACTGCAGTTTTATATAGTATTGAAGATAGTGTCAGTCCTCCAACTTTGTTCTTCAGTATTGTGTTGGCTCTTCTGAGTGTTTTGTTTCTCAATATAAACTTTAATTTAATCAATATATATAAAATATCTTCCTGAGGTTTTGACTTGGGTTTCATGAATCTGCAAATCAAGTTGGGAGGAATTGACATCTTGATAATATTTAATCTCCCTGTACATGAACATGGAACATCTTTCCATTTATTTAGTATTTGATTTTTTTTCTTGAGAATTTTGTAATTCTCCTCATATAGGAGATTTTTTATTTCATTTGGGGGGATGCTAATGTGAATTATGTTTTAAATTTTAAATTTCACTTGTTCATTGTTTTCATATAGAAGAGCAATTGACTTTTGCATACCAACCTTATATTCTTCAACCTTGCTGTAAGTACTTATCAGTTATAGGAGCTTTTTTGTCAGTTCCTTTGGATTGTCTACATAGACAATCATGTCACCTGTGAATGTAGACAGTTTTGTATCTACCTTCCCAATCTGTGTAATTCACTTTACTATATTAGCTAGTATTTCCATTATTATGTTAAAAGAGTGGTGAGAGCAGACGCCTTGCTTTGCTCCTGATCTTATGGGAAAAGCTCTAATTTCTCACTGTTAGACATGATGTTAGCTGTAGATTTTTTTTGTAAATATTTTTATCACACTGAGAAAGTTCCCGTTTATTCCTACTTTACTGAGAGTTTTTATCATGAATGAGTGTTGGTTTTGTCAAATGCCTTTTGTGCATCTATTGATTTGATCCTGCTTTTTTTTTTACCTGTTGATATGATGGATTGCATTAATTGATTTTCAGGTGCTAAACCAACCTGCATATGTGAGATGAATCATACCTGATTGTGGTGTATAAATCATTTTATACATTGTTGGGTTTGATTTGCTAATATTTCAGTAAGAATTTTTGCATTGATTTTCATGAGAAACATCAGTCTATAGTTTTCCTATGATGTCTTTGGTTTTGGTCTTAGGATGATGGTTTGAGAGGTGCCCCAAGGCCAGGAATCTAGGTACACTGGTGGGGGGAATATGTTAAGAATGTTACTAGTTGACTATCAATTTATTTGTGGACCACCTGCCTGCATGAGATGCTTTAATTTTTTTTTAATTGTTATTTTAAAGAATATAAAACTGTATTTCACAAGAAACTGAATCTTCAAAAGGTCAGTGATCCTCGTGCTTGCTGTGGTTTTTTGTTTGTTTGTTTTTTGAATCTCTTGAAGAGTAGCTACAACATTTTTTTCCCATCCAGTGTAATGGGATTTGTAAACACTAAACATTCTAGTTCTTTTATGCTGTTTAGGATGCCATTTAGTATATTATTCTTATACTTTTCGACATTGACTTCATGAGACTCACAACAAACATCTGTTTTTCTTTAATTTTTAGGTAAATACTGTGGTCTGGGGTTGCAGATGAACCATTCAATTGAATCAAAAAGCAATGAAATTACAGTGCTGTTCATGAGTGGAATCCATGTTTCTGGACGAGGATTTTTGGCTTCTTACTCAGTTACAGATAAACAAGGTAATTTTCACTTGATACTGTAGCTCCAGCATTTTATAGTCTATAAAAACAAAACCAAAATGTTTCTTTCAGTACCTGTTATCTAAATTTGGAATAGAGTAGAAAGACTGAACAGTTAATAACAAACAAGTACATAAATTTGACATAAAAATAGATCAGTTTTAGAGTCTAGTAATTAAAAATATGTTAACATTTATATATAAAAGCATATATTTTCTTCTCATTAGTAGAGGAAATACTGATTTTCTATTCTTTATAGTATTGGAACACAAAAATTAATAAGTTCTAAAAACCTGTTGATTATTGAAATGTAGTACATCAATTTAAAGCTGCATTATCTACATGTTACCATTCCATAGTACTGTGTTAAGGACAATGCTACCATTTTTCTCAAAGAATAGTCTCATACCACTAGAAGTACACTGGGTGGCATCTGCGACATTATAAAATAAACATGAAATATTTTCCAAAAATGTAATGTTTAGAATCTGAAGGACGGGCCAAAATCAAGGTCATTAAGTGGAATAGAATGCACAGTTGATCCGAATCTCGAAGATGAAGCACTAGACTTGAATGAAATCTCTCATGCGTTTTGGCCGTTTGGTGTGTGTGTTCATTCCCCTCTGCCGTTAAGGGTGCTGTGCTGAGGAAAGTCAAGAAATGTCTCTAGTACAAGGATATATCACAACAGTTATTTTAGTATTCAACAATAGTTTATCTATGTTTACCACTTAAAATTTTAAAAATATTTTAATTGTATAAGTGAGAAAATTGTCAAGAACCTCCCAGGTATGAAAATGCTAGGCATTGGGAATGACCCAGGGCAATGCAAACTGCTCCTTCTTAGCGGTAGTAGGTTTGAAATAAATATTACATATTTTATTAAAATATTTGTTTAGAATGTGATAGAGAAGAAAGTTGTTCTTTGTGAGGAGGAGCTGCTTCCCTTAGTTTCTAAGCTGTGGAACAAGGTATGAAGGCTAATCCCTAAGGGAGCATGAGAAAGAAAACTCATTGGATGCAGTAATAGGAAGAGAAGAAATTTATGTTAGTGAACAATTAATATCTTTGACAGAACCAGGAAGACTAAGGGAATGTAGTGGTGTAGAAGGGGCACTAGGTAGCCCTGGAAGTAAAGCCAGAGGACCTCTAGCCAATCATCTGAGCTCTGTGAACCTCATCTGCAAATGGATTGGCTGTGAGGAATAAATCTAAATACCTGTGTAGTGCCTCTAGGCACACAACATAGCAGGCACAAAACAAATGTTAGTCACCCCCCGCCCGTTCACCACTGTGCACACAGACACATACTCATTTTCCCCATCCCCTAACGTCAAAACAGTAAGGTAAGAAAGAACATGATGACAGATTTTCATCCTTTCAGTTTTATTTCCCGAAAGTCTCTGGTCGATACATGAGAGGATAGAAAAATAAACATTTAGTTTGCTTCTTATTAAGTTTCTTGGTCTTAATATCATGTTAAATTATTATTTTGCTTCATATTTCTTCCCCTTCTCTCTTTATTATTTGTCGAGATGAAGGTTTTCCAAAAACCTTCAGATAAGTATTTACTCAACAAATAAGTATTTTCTCTTTAAAAAAAAGGGGCGGTGTTACATTTGATATTTAAATTGTGGAACTTTTTGATCCATAAGTGTCTGCATCAAGTTTCTTAAGAATTGACAGTTATTTCAGACAATAGAATCAGTATGTTATAAACTTATGTACATTTACGCCAAATTGACTCCAAATAGCTATGATATTATTTTACATAAATCCTCACTTCCATAGCTTTTAAAAGAATTTCCACCATAATCTGCAAGTTTTTTATAATAACACTTTCAAATCTTACAGTCATCTTGGGAAATCCTCATTTCACAGCTCTCTCCTGAGGGTTGTTTGGGTTTTTGTTTTTTTTTTAATATCCTTGTTCTATCCAATAAGCATTTGTTTTAATTGAAGTTGAGTGAATTGGCTAAATTCAAGAGAAGATGAGTTAAATTTCTTACTACTGCTTCTTGGGTGGCTTTTCGTCACAATTTATTATAATGACTCATTCATTTGAAGGCTGGTTGGTTTTGGTTGAGAGCTCCCCTTTACTTCCATCCAGGAAACGGAGCTGCTGCACTGAATTCCATGAATATTTTCAGGGAACATTGCTGCAGGTCCCTGGCTTAGCAACCTAGTTGTTGAAGGTTTAGAGTTTTTGAGAGTGAAGGTTGTGAAAAGTCTTGCTTCAACAGTGTCTTCATTTGTTAAACTCTCACAAAGACTTGTTAATGTAATAGAGTCCTGATTTGTTAGAAATAGACTGATTTTCATTACTTTATGCAAGAGCCCATTGCAAAATTCTGTTCCTTTTAATGACTTATTTCCATTATGATTGGCATTGAGAAAAGAGCAGTAAATAATACAGATGCAATCATACCTTCATGGGCTTTACAGCACAGAGCTGGACAGAAGATCTTGAACACATGGTTACTTAATTGTAGTTGTGGTATAATGTATTATTAAGTCCAGTAAGTACAGTGAAGGATACATTCACCAGGTAGGGGCCAGAGGGGAGTCGAAAATGGATAAAGAGTAAAGTTCTCCTGAGGATGTCACTTTTAAGTTGAGAACCGAAGGATTACTCAGAGGTTCCAGACAGACAAGGAATTAAGAACATTCTAGGGGAGAGAACAGCAAGTGCAAATGTCTCGTGGTGGGAAGGAGTTTGGGGAACCAGAAAAGGAGCCGGCACAGCCAGGGTGCAGTGACTACATGGCACGCAGGTCCCATTATTCAGGACTTGGTAGAAAATGTAGGGGTTGCAGCTTGACCAGATTTGTGTTTTTTTGTAGCTTCCATGGTTGTATTCTTCTGTTATTTTTAATGATCTTTGAGCAGTAGTTTCTAGTATTTTCTATTAGCAGTTAATTATTTTTTTAAATTTTTACCTGTGAACATCATTTTGAAAGATTGTATCTGCCAGTGGAAGGGAACATTTTCCCATTTCCCCATTGGGTAGCAAGCAGAGACACATAAATACTAATCAGTACTTTTAGTGGTTATGAGAGGATTGGGATTTCCACTTGGAGTTAGTGTAATTCCATCAGATTACAGCTAGACTCTGACATTGAGTTTTTCACCTGAAAATTGAAGATACGTGTGTACCTTAAAGATAGTCTGGACATCATATTAACAACCACTATTTAGAGTTCTAGAGAGAGAAACTCCTAAGTTACTCCCAGTCTTACTGAGAGGCAGAAGAAGCAGCCTGATTTTTAAGTTATTTTAGTTTTACAACAGGTTGCTCAGAAGACATACCTGCAATTGCATGAAAGCTGCAAGTCCTTCAAGGTTCTGTTACATGCCCTAAGTTGGGTGGTGTATCTGTGCACAATTGAAAAGTAATAGTCTGGTATTTCTTTGTGGAACATGAAATCATAACTTAGCATTACTTTAGATTTCACCAATCCAGAGTGTGTAGTCGTCAGTCTAAAGTTTGTTTTTGTGAGGAAAAACCGTAAATAGTTTTAAATTTCCTGTGAAGTAAAATGATCCAGTGTACACGGTAACCTACTTCTTAATTGGAACTCATAAACACTTGTTCATTCATTGCCTGCTGACCCCTTAGAATCTGAGGTCAGTGTGCTTAAGACTTGTGAACAGCTGGGCCTGGGAAATATTTCCATTTGACAGTGTTATTGTTGCTATATGTTAGATTATTTTTAGAGTTAACACCAATAGTGTAACAATTTTCTGATTGCCACATTCTTTAATCACATTTTTGCAAATATTTTCCATTTTATATCAACTTATAAAGGAACCATAGGGCAAAACAGAAAATTTCCTTCTAATAGAGTCCAGATTTCTGTAACTGGTTGTGTGTGTCTCTTCTTTCCTTCATGGAATGTTTTTGGTTTTGAAAATAGAGCATGAATTCCTTAGATTGCTTGCTGCCTTAATTATACAGTAATTTTATAGAATCCTTTCTGTTTTGAGTACTACACTTAGCTAGGTTTCCATTTTTAGTTTTTCCATTGTCTTCCTAATTTTTGTTACATTGTAGCTGGCAAACATTTCAAAACTTTTAAGCTACATAGTAAGATTTTTTAATGCATTCTCAGTTTTCATACATATCTTTAGATTTATCCTTGTTTATACAAAAATGAATGTGTATAGTGTTTGTATGCATAATATAGTACACATGTAGAAAAATATCTCTATTTTGGTGTCCATTTGTAAAAAAAAAAGTGATGATGAGCAAAGTGTTACCAATTTTGCAGAGAAAGCATTTACAAACAGAATTTGTTAAAACGGTGTTAACCCAAAGAAGCAATTCAACTTAAGGGATAGAGTTTATTCCAAGCTGACAAATAACCTGAGAGCACCTTAATGACTTTAGTATTTTCTACGAGTTTCACTTTTCTAGTACACTAGGAATGCTGTGATGGGACTGGATGTGTGTGCGACCCAGTGGACGTATTCGTTCACCGATGCTCTTACTGATGAACTCATTGGTGTCCAAGGTACTACATAGGTTACAAAAGAATCGCTCAGTCTTTTCATGTCCTATGTTCACTTTTTAGTATGTAGATTTTAGGTGTTGACAGGATCGACTTACTCATCTGACCACTGGGTTGAGAGTACACCGAGGGGGAGGAAGGACAGAAACAAAGGTCAGCAAGAAACCTTTTTCCACAATTAAGAGTTTATGGACACTTGAACTAGTGTGGTGGTAGTGGAGGTGTCAAAAACGGGCAGATTCTGAGGTATGTGCATATATGTTCTTAGAAGAGGCTAATGGACATGAAGAAGAGAGTCAAAGATATCTAAGGTTTCTGACCTGAGCAACTTTAAAAAAAGATGAACTTATGTGTGAAGTGCTGAGGCCAGTGATTATAACAATAAATATCAGTAAAGCTCTTATTTCTCAGCTCAGTCATTATGCCGGATCCACTTTAACCAGTCCTACAGTACCAGAAAACTAGTGATACGCTTAAAGTGCAGGACAGTATACAATTTATGCCATTTTTTTAAATAATTTAAATCAAACATTCAACACATACAAAAAATATTTACCTTCCCTCGACCGTGTTCTTAGTAGCTGCGAGCCTTACAGTGATAGTGGTTTTCTGGACAGTTGTTTACTTGGGGAGAGATTTCAAGAAAGACATGTTTTAAGGCTTTTAAAATTCCTGGATTAATTGATGTTTTCTTTTCCTTTCTGGAGTTGTAGAAGTCAGAGTCTATAATCATGACTTGCTTTCTCTGTCTTTACTTGTCTTGGCTACCCTAGTAGCTGTCCATTTTGAATTCCTATTTTTCTCCTACGGAGCTCTGTTGAGCTCCCATGGAATTTCGTTAAGGTAAATCATCCAAGCAGTTTTCATTCCTTCATATTCATAATACACACAGCAGTTTCCTTAGGGATCTGAGTTTTCCCCTTCAGTTTGAATGTGAGTATTAGGAGAGCGTTTTGCATGGCAAGGTACAGAAAGCAGAGGTCACCCTGCACTGCTACCTACCTTTACCTGCTAGAAGTAAAAATTAAGTGGAAATGATTATCATACATATTTTTCTCTTCTTTTTGAATGTGCAAATGTAACAACAGTGACAGACCTGAAATTACAATCACCAAACAAACCCAAGGTAGGTGCACTTTGATGGGCAAATTCAGCACAGAGGACATTGTCTGAGAACTGGGACGTCATCAAAGAGGAGGTGGTGGAGGCTCCTTTTCTTTATTACCCTCTTTTAAATATAGGTTTTCTAAAGCAACTTCTGAAAGCATAAAATAGCTACACAGCCTATAGCACCAAAATGGGCCGTCTCCCCTGTTCACCCTCAACCGAGAAGGAGGTCTCTTCACGCACTGAAGTGGACAGAAGGAGCTTGTGCACAAACAGGCCGTGGTCTGTGCACTCGCTTTCCATGGTCTGGCGCTTGGTTTCAGACACTTTAGGATCGTTCGACCTTGTTAAAAGAAATTGGGAGTTCGGAATAGTTTGCTGACTGCTCTCTGTATTAGTGTGTTGGCTGTTACTGTGGATTGTGTGATTGATTGTAGTGGTGACATCATTAGTGTGACAACTTGTGTTGCCTGCAGTCTCCAGTTGCTGCCATTGTAGCTCTAGCTGCACCTGCAGTTTTTGTAACTGAGAAGTGCAAAGGCCAGAAGAATTAAGCTGTGTTCCTATAGAGTGTCTCACTCCTGATAACTGAGATAAAGCTCAGCCATAAGACTCATGGCTTCTCTCAGCCATAAGATTCATGGTTTTCCTGTTGCTTGGAGAATGAACTGTGAGGACAAGAAAGTCCTCCAGTAGAACTGCTGGTAAAGTACAGGTTTGCTCTGTGAGCAGCAGGACCTCCTAATCCCCAGCCAGGGTGAAACATTCAATGTATGTCAAACACCCCTCAAGTCACAGGACCCTGGGTTCAAGTGTAAGATGAGCTGCACAGTCATCTGTGACATGATTAGGATCACCTCCTGGTAATGTTGGACATACTGGATATATCACTTCCGTTGATGTTTCTGCATGTTCAGATGTAACATGTTCTTGAAGAGATGTCTGTGACAGCCCATTTTTCCACAATAGGGGCAAGTAAGAGACTGGCTCCTCTGAGGTGAAAGCTTCCCCACCCTAGTAGAAGTCAGATCTGCCCTTGTTAATCTGCACTGCACTGGGGGGTCAGTTGCATGCATTGCTGTTGCTGTCGTATCACTTTCACTGGAAGATTTACAAAACTTGTAGCAGATTAAACACTTAGATCTGCGGCCTTGAAACTTTCCTTTTAAACATGCATCACAGCTGACAACTTCATGTTGGGTGGGACATCCTAGTTTAGACAGTGGTGGCACTGCCCCTCCCAGTTGAGTCCCCAGAGAATTTGAGAGCAAGGACAAGTGAGTTGCACACAGTTGCATGTTGTGACTGGAGTTTGAGCACTGCATGGACTTCACAGTAAAGCCCTGTTCTGATCAAGTGTATCCGTAGTTGCCCGGCATCTGGCATGTGGCCTAAGGGAATGGGGCCAGCTGGCAGGCTCCTTGTGGTTTAAATACCCTGCTGGACCACACAGGTACCTTTTAATCCCAATCTATTAATCTTTTTTCCCTAAATTTAATCTTTTTTTCCATTGCTATTTAGTGCCCTTATTACCTGCCCAGCCCCACCCAGTGATTTGAACTTCTGAATCAAAAGTTCAATTTCTAATCTCAGAAGTTGGAAACTCTTTTGGTGAGAGCTTTTGGTAAGGAAAGTGGAAAATTCATTTTTATTAATATAAGGTAAAGATTCACAGAAATAACTATTCAGTTTGTCTGCTTTTCTCAGTCAGTAAACCTAGTAGTAGTGAACCCCTATTCAATCATGTATCCTCTTGAATTCCTTAAAAAACCCATATTTAACCTAATCACCATCCAAATGCTGGTGCTATATAGATAATAACTCATACAATCACTCTCAAAATACCACTTTTCTATTGGTATAACAGGTTTTATGCTCTAGTTCTTTCAAGAAACATTTTAGTTGAATGACAAACACATGATTTCTTCAGAATTGTAGAATAGAATGATCAGTTATCCTGTTGTTGCTGTGGTGGCCATTAATTTGCTGAATTTACAAGGACATCAGTATACGAGGACACGTGTGAGGCGCTATCCCCATCAGAGTATTGGTCGCCCTCAACAAAGTTGTGTGGCCAGGCGTCTACATGTGAAGCCAGTTACCTTTGTGATTGCCTTAGCACGGTCTTCCAGTTTTTTCTCCCTACTGGGTCAGTACATGATTGGACTTAGCCAAACCTTCTAACAATCAGATACTTACTCATCCATGTATTTAATAAATGGTGATTAAAAGCCTCCTGCAATGCCATGTGCTAGGATTGCTGCTGGCGACACAGAGGTGGGGACGAATGGCCTCAGTCTATGTGTAGACCAGGCTTCGTCAAATGATGTTGCTCAGGACTCTGTAATGCATCAACAAACCATTTTGGCCTCTCTGGGACCTTAATTGTTGGAGTCTTGTTAGTGTCCTCCCTGGCTTTCAAGAAACAGAGATGCGTCACTCAGAGAAATGTGTTAATAAAACTAGGATTCACTAGCAAAAAAAATTGTTCACATGTAACACATGCTACTGTGAGAGTGTGATAGTCATCCATTCACTAAAACAAACACAGCAAACCTAAGTACCTGCTGTGCGCTAAAGGTGTTTTGTTTGCCAAGGTCAGGGGCAGCTTCTGTGAGGAAATGACAGTTAAGATGAGACCTTAGAGAGGAGTCAGTTTATCTAAAGGGCAGTTGGAAAGCCTCCGAGACTAAGAGAACAGCATGTTCCAGAGAAGACTAGTGGGGCAAAAAGCCAAGATGGATACAAGATGAGGCTGAGGCAGGACCAGACACTTAGAGACCTTGTAGGACATGTTGAAAACTTGCCCTGTGTCCTAGGAGCAGAAGTTCCTGCCGTGGAAATGTTGGAACCAAAGCCACCTTGTACATACCCTGTGAACTAGGTCTTAATTAGACTAGCTTTTTACTCAGATTTGTTGATCTCTAGATAGAAAATTTAAAATTTTAAAGTTTTGTTGTATTTAGAGCACTGCTTCTCCAACGTTAGTGTTTAAGAATTACCTGGAGGACTTTTTTTTTAAAAGATTTTTGGGCCCCACTCCCAGAGATTCTATAAGTGCGGATGGCGTTCAAGGATTTGAATTTCTAGTTAAGTTCCCAGAAGATGCGGGTGCCGCTGCTTCTGCTGTGGACTGGATTTTCAGTTGCAGCTATTTGAATTAGCTCACCTCTGTTCTAGCATCGCTTTCCCGGTGTGTAAACCACCAAAGGCTCTCTTCTGGTCATACAATAACTAAAATAGTTTTTCTTTTTGGAGGGAGCTATATTTGATAGAAGCCATTTAAAACCTATAAATTATATATATCTGTGTGCCTTCTGTATACAGGGTGGGGCAAAAGTGGGTTTACAGGGTTTTTTATGGAAAATAGTACAATAATGATATGAGAATAAACTCAGTTCCATGTCCTCACAACTGTAAATCTACTTTTGCCCCACCCTGTACATATGTGACCTTGTGAGGTAATATGGTAGTGAACTGCACTGGGGAGACATAGCCCAGAAACCGAGATATTTAAAATGAGAAAGAAATGTTGATTAACAAAAGTTTGTAAAATGTTATTAGTACTACTATGATAGCTGTTGAGATTTTGAAAATTTAGAACAATATTATTTGGGATTTGGAAACAGTTTCATCAAGGGTTAAACCTATGTATTATTAAATCAGTTTTTTATTTTTTGTTTTTCTAGATCTAATTACTTGTTTAGACACTGCATCCAGTTTTTTGGAACCTGAGTTCAGGTATGAGCATGTCTGTGCTTTTTTTTTTCCCCCTTAAATGTATTCTTCATTTACTTCATACTCATTCTTTAATACCCTTAAGATTAATGTACATGGTGACACATAGGAGGGGGAACCCCCCAAAAGAACAGGAATTATGGTCTGGAGGGCAGGCCCCTTGCAGGACAGGCTTCCCCCGCTAGGTGAGTGTGCTAGGAACCCATCTGTATCTGTGTACCAGGTGGCATTGTGAGAGGCTGCATTTGGCTTCATTGAATTTTTTTTTGAAGGCTCTTTCAAACAGATTTGCCCATTGCATGATGGGTGATTTTACAAGCATACCTATCCACACTGTACTAAATATTTAGCAGTTTTTGATAAAAAATGGAGTGATGCCCATGCCCTACCCCCTCCAATTTACCTGGTTTCACCCTGACCGACTTTTTTTTTGTTGTTTCCACAAAATGAGAAAAATCCTCAAAGGGAAACATTTTGCCAATGTGGAAGAGGTGAAACAAAAAACAGCAAAAGCACCTAGCATCAAAATTGACAAGTTCAAAAAGTTTTTTGCGCACTGGAAAAAAACTTCTCAATAGGTGATCAAGTGCAGAGTATTTTGAAGATGACTAACGTTTAAACGTGTAGGAACAAATACATGATTTTTTTGTAAATAAATTACTAACCTAAATAAGGTATTCTAAGACCTCACTCAATCAATAAACCAGAATCTATTTAAAGCCACTGAGTTGCTATGTTTAAATTTTTCATTCCTTATAGCAGTTGGATCTTCTTCACAAAAGTGAAACTAGTAGCTCTTCAAAATCTGGCAAAACTGCTGGAAGAATTATTTATCTTTTCTTTTTTTAAAGAAGAAGAGTGTGGTTTAGGCTATTACGGAATTTCAGTGTTCTTACCCAAATAGCATTGCTACAATGATTTCCCTGCTTTGTGCTCTTATCTCTTGCTTAGACTAGAATCAACTTCTCATGATTTCCTTTCCATTTCTGACCTTTGCTGGCTTTATTCTGCTATCGCATTGCTGCTAGGTTGTTTCCTAAAATACCTATCTCATCATTGCCCTGCTTACAGATCTTCAGGTGTGCCTAATTAGGACAAAAAGTCATCCAGATTCCTTAGCTTGGTTTTCAGGATCCTGTCCCAGGTTCTTACGCTATTTTTCTAGCTTTATCTCAAGCACTCATGTTAAAACATCTCTGGATTACTCACACTGCTGTGAGCTCTATGATCTTTTGCCTAGAGTCACTTTACTTTTCTCTCTGCTTGGCAAAAATCATTCTCATCTTCTAAGGTCATCCCACTACCTTGCAACTTGCTACCTCTTCCACAGAGAACCTTCACTTTGTCTTCAGAAATGGTTTTGTCTCTGCAGGGTGGGTGCGTTTTTCAGCCCTGGTAGGGCATCCTGGTCTGCAGAGGTAACCCCGGCATCAGTGGACAGCACACAGCCCTGCAGAGGGGCAGGTGTCTGGGGCCCTCCACTCTCTAGCTCCCCTGTTACCACCCAGATAGAAGGTGCTAACATCCCCTCGCCTGGACTACCACACTGTCTGCCTGATTCTGCCCCAGCTTTCACCCATGGTTCCTTACATTCTCTTTTCTTCCCAGGAGTCACAATACTCTTTTTAAAAAATATGTATCAGATTATATATATACACAGTCAAAATCCTTTACTGCCTTTCTATTTTTATTCAGAAATATATTCCAGACTCCTCACCAGCCCACAAGGCCTCTGCATGACCTGGCTCCTGTCCACCACTGTAGCCTTCTCTCCAGCTAACCTGTGCTGACTGCAGTCTGCCTGCACCAGTGGTTCCCAGTTCCAGACACACACCGGCCGTCCTGCCTCGTGGGCACGGTGTTCCTTTCACCTGGGCTGCATTTCCTTCCACTTGCTCCAGTGGCTGCCATTAGTTCTCTGCCGAAGCTTCACTTCCTCAGAGCCCCATCCCCTACTAAGGCCGTGCAGAGGCCTGTGTATGAGCACAGACTCAAGCCCATCTGCCACTCGCCAGCCATGTGACCTAGGCACACATTTCCTTGGTTTCCTCATTTATAATATGAGGATAATAATAGTACCTACCATGTTGGGTTCTCACATGGTTTAAAGTACTTAGGATGCTGCCTAACCCACAGTGAGTTTACCGAACACTTGTATTACTTTTATTAAGTTAGATTCCTGCCAGTTATTTCAGAGAATCCCTTTTCTTCATAGTGGTATCATAATCTGATTATTTGTAAATCAGTTTAATGTCTTCCCCCACCACTGGCATGTAAACTCAGCGAGGACAGGGGCCTTGGGTGTCTGGCTAACTTTTGTAAATGTAGTTCCTGGCACAGCCCAGCACTTATACCGTGGTAGGTATTCTGGTAAATGTATTGAGTGGGTAGGTGAGTGAGTGAATGAACACCAAACATTCTTTTAGGTCAACATAAATTCGATCAATAGAGGGTTGGCAAAATAAATTATGGTTTGTCCACAAAATAGAATATCATGGACCTACTAAATATGGTAGATGGATCTTACAATAGGAATGTGTCTGTATTCATCATGAAGTAAAATAACCAAAGCTGTAAAGTATGAGACAACTTTTGTGAATTTGTAGGTGAAGTCGTGTCTGGGGGGATGGAGGGAGGTCTGAAGGGGCATTTCAGGAGCGGTGGTTCTCAGAGTGTATGATTACGGCACTTACATTGAACTGCAGACTGAACGTGTGATGTCTTTGGTCTTTCTTTCCCAACACTCAGCGGTATGTGTCCTTTAACTCGTGTTTTGTTTCACAGTAAGTACTGCCCAGCTGGTTGTCTGCTCCCTTTTGCTGAGATATCTGGAACGATCCCTCATGGATATAGAGATGTAAGTTGGATGCAGACGTACGTTCAAGTTGTGATAGGACTTTGTTATGTTTTTAAACTTCAGAATAGGTAGATGTGTACCCATTGTATGTCTTTGATGTTTTTTCCAGGGATTACTTCTTTGTAGTAATAGGTCATGTTTTATTCTTCTAAAAATTTGTTCTGTGTTACAGCATCAATAATCTGTTCAATGTTTATTGAGAAGACCACCCAGATAAACTAATTTCTGAGGAAGTGTCTTATTTGTGAATTATCAAAAGAAAATTTAAAAATTGATCTTTCTCTTTCCCTCCCTCAAGTCCTCACCGCTATGCATGGCTGGCGTGCATGCAGGAGTCGTGTCCAACACCTTGGGTGGCCAAATCAGCGTTGTGATTAGCAAAGGCATCCCGTACTATGAAAGTTCTCTGGCAAACAACGTCACCTCTGTGGTGTGAGTATGTGCGCTGTTTACAGTGAGCGTGCCGAGCAGGGTGGGATAGGGATTCAGGAGGCCTCAGCAGTGCAAGTTGGTGGTGTTCAAGAAGCACCATTTGTGCGCTCAGCACTTACCTCTTTGTGCGTACCTGCCTGAATATATTGAAAAGTACAGGCAAGGTCAGGCTGCTGTGGCTTACTCTCTGTCAGAATGGTAGTCATTTGTAAAGGTGATTGGTTTGTTTCTTCTTTTCTAAGTATTGAGAAAGCCTGGAATAAGAGTCTAGAAGTATGTTGTCAAATCTTCACTTCATATTAAAGATCAGAAGGTGTAAACTACTCTGTTTCTTATAGTCTCTGTGACCCAAGATGAATTGAGGATAATTGTAACACTTTGAATATAAACTCAATTTGAAATAAATCGGAGGTTGTGGTAGTATTTTGAATCCCCCTTCTCATCCCCAGAACATATTTTCAGGATGTATTTTCATGGTCTACATTCTACTATTTTACAAAACTTAGAGTAGGCATAAAAAGCAAGAGCAGTTCAAACATTAAATAGAAATACCGTACTCCTGATTTGTTCTTGTAAATCTTGCCTCTTCGATATGCCCAGTCCTGCACACTGGACTACGCCTGTTTGAAACGAGCATCTCTTCAGGGGTCCTAGGCCAGTTTTCATTCAGAAGACTGGAGCGTGGTCCACAGCCACAGCAGCAGAAAGCAGGAGTCAGCACACTTTTCTGTGAAGGACCAGCTAGCAAATATTTTAGGCCTTTATGGGCCGCATGGCTCTGTCACTCTTTTTTTATGTCATTTACAACTCTTTAACCATGTAAAAGCCATTCTTAGCTCACTGGCCGTGAAAAAACAAACCGTACATGGGCTCTCTGCCCATCGATACCATACAGCCAGCTACCTTTCCTTCTTTTGGTTTCTTCTGGATGCATTTATGCTAATCCTTTCTTCTTTTCCCCTGTTCTACCTTTAGACATACATTCTTTTCCATGAATTCTCTTTTTCGTATTTAAAAATCAAGGACAAGTTGCATCCACTTGTAATACTGATTTAAATGTGTTGACGACAGGAGCACACACTGGTGATTTCCGCTCCTCCAAGCTCCTTAGAGTCCTCTGACCTACCACCTGGCGACCTAGTCACTAGCCTCGCCCCCGTGTTCTCCTGTAACACATGCAGACTCAGGAGTAGTTAGCTTTCTGCTGTCTACCCCAGGACTCCAGAGCCTGTTCGTCGAGAATTACACCCTGCAGTGCACCCTCCACCAGACGCAGTGCCACAGAACAGGTTTAGGAGTCGGCTTATTTCATGAAAAATATGAAATGAGTGTATAGTCAAGGTTACGTGGACACATTTGCATAATCATGTGTGAGACAAGGAACTAGGTACTTGTGGAGAGTTACTTATGCTGACTTCAGAGGTTCTGCTTAGGAATGAGACTTTTTTTGTTAACTAGGAACATTATCAGTCATCCGATATATAACTGGAGAATAGTGTTAGTTGTTTATACAGCAAAATAAAAACAAGAAAAGCTTTACTGGGACAAATTTGGGGAAATTATGGGTTATGTGATACGTCACCAAAAAAAAACTTTCTCTCTTTCAGGGGACACTTATCTACAAGTCTTTTTACATTCAAGACGAGTGGTAAGCTTTTCATGGACTTTATAACGTACTGTAATTTGTACAGTAGCTAATATTTCTTGTACACTGCATGTCAGGCACTGTGCCAAGTGCTGTTCCCTGTACTTTCAGTTTAGTTGTTACAATAACACTGTGAGGTAAGAAGGGCATTTAATATATAATGAATGAGAAAAGCTGGATGTTTTATATTAATAGGAAAATGGTCACGTAAGCAAGGAAAGATTTTTGAACGTGTCTAAAGAAGTAATTTATTCATTTCACTGAAAGTATTTATTGAGTGCCTTCTTTTTATTTGTCAGATACGCTACTGGTCTTGGAATATAACAGCAGAATAAGCGAAATTCTGCTTTCCTGGAGCTTACATTCTGGTAGTGAGAAATTGACAATAAACTGTGAATAAGTTAATTATTGTTTACAGTCTACTATTTATGATATAAAGGATGTAGAAAATAAAACAAGAAAGAGTGGGCAATGCAGGAGGCGTCATGGAGGATGTGACGTTTGAGCAAACACCTGAAGAAGTTAAGGGTGTGAGTCACCCAGTGACCTGGGAGCTTGTCCCAGGAGAGGAAATGTATCTCCATTAAGCCAATGGTTATGGCCCTGGCTGGTGTGGCTCAGTGGATTGAGCATTGGCCTGCAAATCAAAGGATTACCAGTTTGATTACTGATTGGGGTACCTGCCTGGCTTGTGGGCCCAGTCCTCAGTTGGGGGTGAGAGCTCAACTGATCCAGATGTTTCTCTCCCTGTCTTTCTCCCTCCCTTTGCCTCTCTCTAAATAAAAACAAAATCTTAAAAAAAAAACCCCACAAACTAATGGATATGGCTCATGAATAAATATATACAGTTCCTCATAAGACATAAAACATAGACCCCAGAAACACTGGCCTAGTTTGGAAATTTTGCTATTACATTGTTATTATTTGTATAATGTATGTTGATTAAAGGTACAATAGAAAGTTTGTAACGGACAAGTTTATGTAGAGTTTAAATTTATAGCTGGAAACCCAGTTACCTTTCTTCTTTTGTTGCCGTTTCAGGTTGTTACGGAACACTGGGGATGGAATCGGGCGTGATTGCCGATCCTCAGATAACAGCCTCATCCGTGCTGGAGTGGACGGACCACACAGGCCAAGAGAACAGTTGGAAACCCGAGAAGGCCAGGCTGCGGAAGCCAGGGCCTCCCTGGGCTGCTTTTGCCACTGATGAGTATCAGTGGCTACAGATAGATCTGAACAAGGAAAAGAAGATAACAGGTTAAGAGGCATAACTTTTTAGAATAATTTATGATCCTGATTTTATTTGAAACGTAGCGACGTCTAAGATTTTTATAGAAAATTAAGTCACTGCAAATTTAATTATGTGGTTTTAAGTTTTCTTTACTGTTGTTAATATTACTGAAAATGGTTTTATAAAAACATGCCAGGAGAGGCATTCATATTTGAGTCTTACTAGCTTTTCTTATTGTAATAAGATTTCTTTCAAGGTAGTGTTTTACTAAAGTGATCTTGAGGCATCTGAAATACCATCTATTATAGTCATTGAGTGAAATTTATGTTGAAGGAGTCGATAAGTGCTATAAGTAATATTCCACATGAGCTGAATGCAAATTTAATTATTTAAAGCAGTTTAGCAAATGGTCAAAATAATTTGTTGGGATTGGTTTTGTTAAAGATGTATTTAGCTTTGGTGCTGAAAATAATACCAGTAATTACTTTTAATATGTTCATTTCCAGAAAGCCATTCTTACTCATAGGGTGCAACGTATTTTATAATGATATGAACACAAGAATGGTCCTTTAGCAAACACAGAATGGTCCTTTCCCTTGGTGTGCACGTAATTCTCCTGTCTCCGCAAGGGAACAAAGCCAAGGATTCCGTTACTGTTATAATGAAAAAGCTTGCACTTAGGTAGGGTAATGTGTCATAGGCAAAAAGTGTTTGAACAGTGTGTCTTAGGTGTTCATGTTTCAGTAGTGAACCAACCTAGAGGATCAGAGTGGCACACTATGAAAGCAACTCTCCATTCCCCACCAGGCATCGTGACCACGGGCTCCACCATGGTGGAGCATAATTACTATGTGTCGGCCTACAGAATTCTCTACAGTGATGATGGGCAGAGGTGGACTGTGTACAGAGAGCCTGGTGTGGAGCAGGATAAGGTAAAATGATTAACAGTGTGTTTGTAAAAACATGTTTAAAAATGAGCCTTTGCAAAAAGTCACAGGAACAGTCCTGTGTAATTTAAAAAGTTAAATGTCATTTGGTCTTACTCTGCCCTCTTCTGGTTATTTTAGGTGGTGTTAGTTATTGACATTAACCCTCCTAAGTTCAGGGTAAGAAATTGTCAGTGGTGGCTTTAGGTCCTTTTTGAAGATTGTACAGGTTAAGTACTTTACTGATTCATGTTTTCACCACATCTTAACTCATTTTTTTACAATAGATAATTTATAAGAAAATTCTAAAAGGGAATGTACCATTTCTTGTCTTTAAAAAGCTTTTCTTTTCAATGCACAGAATGATGGAGAAACCTAATTCGTTCCCAGATTTCTGCTTTGTAGACAAGGGGGACAAGAGCTAAAGGCAAAAGTACATTAGTTTATAGGATATTTTAGACTAGAAAGATCATTTCAAGATCATCTCAGTGACTTTGTCTTAGAAAAGTTCACTGTTTTTGTACTTGACGAATTTCATTAACTCCTGTAAGTTTTTCTATCTGAAGAATTTCCTTAACTTCTGTGTCATTATGAAATTGTTGTTTTCATTAACAAAACATGACAGTGCTGGAATGTTCCAGATCAGATAAGGAGCGGAGGGGAGGCCCAGGTGGCTCTCGTCCAGCTGTTTTATCACTGTCACCTGGGCTCCCGGCCCTTGGCCCACCAACAAGGTCTTGTAACTGGGAGAGCCCCTGATTTTGAGCATGTTTTTAATGAAACTTCATTATGAGTTCTGTTTTAGCTATATGATACTATCAATTCTCTATCATATATAAAATTTACTCATATATCTTCAATTACCACTTTTCTCATCTTTCTGTTCAGTAACTGCAGGAGCTTCCTATAATCTTTCACATGGATCTAAACTCTTCTGCTGTTATTCAAGGCCTTCTTTCCTCTCTTCTACTTGATACCACATGAACTTCATCTTTGGTGAGCTTACACCCACTGAAGCAAATAACAATATTGTCTCCATTTCTGTCTTCTGCCTAGTGCCCCCACACTTAACTACTTTTTACTATTAGCACATCCATATTTATTTGTAATCTACTTATTACATATATGGGATATAGTTAATTTTTTGAAGTTATGAGTTATCCATGTTTATATTATAAAAACATCTAAAAGCGAATTATAGTTCTGAAAAAGATTTTTTTGTTTCATTTTGAAAGATAATTTCAGAGTTGAGAATTCTGGATTGACAGTTCTTTGTTTCAGCGCTTTAAATACATTGGTGCATTCTTTTCTGGTTTGCATTGTTTTTAGCAAGAATTCTGCTGTCATTCTTAACTCGTTTCTCAATATGTACCACATCTTTTTTTCCCCCTTGGCTACTTTGAAGATTTTCTTTTTATCATTTGTTTTAAGTAATTTGATTATGATGTGCTCTCTGTAGTTGTCTCCCTGTCTTCTGCTTGGGCTTTTCTGAGCTTCTTGGATCTGTGGGTTATAATTTGCATGGAATTTAGAAATTCAATTGTAGGCCATTTTTTTCTTCAAATAGGTCTCCTCCTCAGCTGTAATTACATAAAGGTTACGACTCTTGAAGCTGTCTTAACAGTTCACGGCTGCTATTCATAGTTTTAAACTTTCTCTGTATTCTAGTTTCAGAAATTTCTATTGTTTCGTCTTCAAGTTCTGTAGTCTATTCTATAATGTTTAATCTGCTATTAATCCTATCTTTTAAGATTTCTTCCATGTCTGTACTCAACATGCTCATGCTTTTTGTTACCTCTGAAACATACAGAGTATGCAATAATGCTTAATGCCCTAGCCTACTAATTCTGTCTACTAATATGTCATATCTAGATCTATTATATTGATTGATATTATGGATCATATTTCACAAGTCTAGTAATATCTGAGTGGTAGCCAGACATTGTGAACTTTACACTGTTTGGCACTAGGTTTCGCTTTTTATTATTCCTTTAATTTTGTTTGAGCTTTATTCTGGGATACAGAGTACTTGAAAATCATTATCTTTTCAAGGCTTGCGTTCTAGCTTTATTAGGCAGGACTTGAGCAGCCTTTTGTTGTAATTTTTCCCCACTGCTGAGAAAATAGTGTTCTAAGTACTCAACCCAACATTCCCAGGTAATTACAAGGTTTCTTCATTCTGCTATTGGCAGTGTGAGCCGTTCTCAGCCCTGTGTGCTTCTCAGAATTATTTTACTGGCTCCTGTCTAGTGGTTTTTTTTTTACTAGTCCACACATAGTTTCTTCGTGTACACGCAACTGAAAATCTAATGGGAAACTTCCTACAGATCCTAGAAGTCTCTCTGCAGCTTTCTTCTCTCCGTGCTCTGCAGATTCCCACTGCCTTGGCTGCTCCACCTCTGAGGCGTCTCGGTTCCCTGACACCCGCTCTCTCTAGGCACTATCGGGTCAATAGAAGGGCTCACCTCATTCGTTTCCCTTTCCTCAGGGGTTATTGCTACCTGCTGCCTACTGTCCAACATTGAAAAAACATTGTTTCATATATTTTATTTGATTTCTCAGAAAGTTAAGGCAGAGGGTTAAGTCCAGTTACTGTTAGTGTATCATGGGTCGAAGTGGACATCCTTGCATTGAATTATATGTGAAGTGACAGTTTTCTTGTCTCTCGTTAGCCCCTCTGCTTCCTCTTCGAACTAAAAACAAACCACTTTGATTTTAAGTGGGTGTTCCCTTACTAATGGTCTTTAGACACTGCCTACACGGCCGGGTCTGAAGGAACGGGGGAGGGCCCTTTGTTGCTCACTAGACCCCTCTGTGTAAGTCAGAAGTGACAGGCTCCAGTCACTGCTCTATCAGTGACCGGCTGCGCAGTCCCTTTCTGCAAGCTGCGGTTTTCTGGATTCTGTCTGTTTCATAGGACTATCATGAAGAGCAACTGAGGTAATTATATAAAATGCTTTGTAATTAAGAGCTCTCCCTTTGTAAGGCATTATCATTATTTGCTTGAAATAGTTGAGGGAATGAGATGGTACTTGAGATCGTATTTTTCCACAAGGATTATTCATATAATACATTTGTTGCTGTTACAGTCATTAAATTCGGCAGGTAACGGATTCACTATTCTGGTTCAAAGAGGGACAAGAAAACAGAACGTGAGAACTGTGTTGACGTAGTTTATCCAGTAGGTGGAGGCGTGTATCTGTTGTGCTAGTGTATGTTCACTTTCAGTGTTTACTGAGAAAAAAACTGATGAGTTGTACACAGTACAGCATTTCTTCTGAGATCTCATATGTTCAATTATACTTTACTTTGGAAATAAAATCAGCATATTTAAATAGTTGGTAATTCCACCGATCTGGCGTTACTAATTTATTAATAGCAATATACCATCTCATTGCTATTAAAGCTCTTCCCAAGTTAGCGAGTTAGTGTTCTTCTGTTTATCATCTTAAAATCATTGTTATATTCTGTATTTTTCCTTTATAAATTTTTTATGAAGAGTGTGCAGCTTAATAGTTCTCCACATTCTAATTAAATTATTTTTTTGAAAATTAGTTTTTATTGTCATACTTTGCAGATCCCATGTAAGCCCCACAACAAACCCAAACCAAACCATGTTTCAGTGGAGCAGCTTAGCACCGGCCTCTGTGGAAGTAAAGTGTCGATGTTTCTGTTGTTTTTTTAAAGATATTTCAAGGAAACAAAGATTATCACCAGGATGTGAGTAATAACTTTTTGCCACCAATCACTGCACGTTTTGTTAGAGTGAATCCCACCCAGTGGCAGCAGAAAATCGCCCTGAAAGTGGAGCTGCTGGGGTGTCAGTTCATCCCTAAAGGTAGAGCAACAGTGTGTTTCAGACGCGTTACTTTCATCAGACTAATTAAAAATGTTAAGTGCTGTTCTCAGAGAAAGTGATCAGTAATCAAGGGTTTGACCCCTAATTACATTATCTTAAAGGAACTTTTAAAAAGAAACGGTTACCCTCTTAAAAACTTGGATATCAAAATGATTTCCAGAATTACAAGTAGGAGAGAGGACATCATTGATGAGATGAAGTAATGAGATTGCTTTCCAAATCTCGTCTCAATCTTAATAATTTTTAATCAGGTCTCATGTGATACAGTATTTATCACATAAGCACTGATGATTGCTTATAATAGTAACCTTAGTCTAAGTGATATTTACTTTGAATAAATTAACAGTGGGAGTAACTTCAATACTGTATTGTAACAACTTTGTTTACTGTTGTACTTCCAAGAACTGCCAAAGTGAATGACACATAGTGGGCCCTCCATAAATGTTAAATGAATTGATAAGTACTATATCAAATTGCAATGAAATTTTTATAGCTTTAGAGTTCAGCATCATTCATTCTCTGTTATTTTCCTTCTTAACAAGATTACTCTCAGTTTAATTATTTAAAAACTGAGAAGACCCAGTATGTTTTTGCATTTAATACAGAGGATGTTTATCCTTTACATATTTCTCTCTGACATTTAAAATTACTGTACAGAGTTAATTATTCTAGGAGATAGTAGAGACATTTAAATATTACTTTAATTATGTTTCTTTGTAAGCAAAGTGTATAAACTTTTCTGAACCATTTTGCAAGGTCGTCCTCCAAAGCTCACCCAACCTCCACCTCCTCGGAGCAGCAGTGACCTCAAAAACACCACAGCCCCTCCAAAAATAGCCAAAGGTATGCGTCCTTTAAATGTGAGAATTTCATATTCCCTGGATTTGTGGTATAATTTTCCATAAATATGTGCAAAGTATTCTAAAGTAATTTTATTACTTTGAATCCAGTTGATGTAGATAAAAGAATAAAGAGTTTTAAAACCTTTTTTCCAAGGTCATGCCCCCAAATTTACTCAACCACTACAACCTCGCAGTAGCAATGAATTTCCTGTGCAGACAGTACAGACGACTGCCACTCCTGATATCAAAAACACTACCGTAACTCCGAATGTAACCAAAGGTGGGTAAACCCAGACATTCACACTTGCTACAGAGTAATGTTTTATTTTGTTTTCAGCTTTTCAACATTGCTAGCTTTAAACTTTCGGTTTCTTTTCCTCAAACTTGGGTTTTTTAAGTATAGCAAAAAAAACTGATTCCCTTCCTTGGGAAAAATCTAATGCTTTGCTCTAAGTTCTATTCTGTGGAACCATGTAGAATTGTTCTTTAAATATTTAGAGATTGTTGCTGTATTCTAGGCCTCCGCTTGCATTTTTTTTTTGTCCTTATGTAGCTAAACATGGGGAGTCTCATGCCTCGAAATGTTTCTAGAAATAATTAAAAGCCTAGCAGTAAACAGACCTTTTTTTTTTCTTTATTATATATGAATTTGCCAGATAGGGGACCTGGCAAAAAAAAAAGAGAAAAAAGCAGACATTGTGGTGAAAACTAATGCTTTTTTAAAAATACTCTTGAGTTAACATACTCATTTTTTTTAAAGTTTGGTCTCTGTTTTTAAAATGTTCCCAATTACAGTTTTTCAGATTATAAGTATAAACGTTAATAGAATTTACTTTCAAACTTAATGATAAGTAACATATTAACATGTACAAAACATATTTTATAAGTTGTTGAGAAACAAAATTTCTGTTGAATACAGGGGAAAAAAGCATCTGTGTTCTAGAGGAATAAGTTTCAGTTTTGGCAGATAAATAAAGCGCACTTATTTTCAAGACAGGGCAGAGAAAGCCGTTCATTCAGAGTAACTTGTACCACTCAGAACTTTAATCATTCTCATTTACTGAAAGTCTGCCTGGATTCAGATAGCTTTCTCCAGCTTTCCACGTGTCAGTTTCTTTTCTGTCTTCCAAACAGACCAAGTTTTTGTGCTGCAGGAAAAATCTAGAGAGAAGCAAGAGTTCTCATAACCAGAAGATCTTAGCATCCACAAAGAGCTTCTTACCAGTTAGCAAAAGGCATGTGTTTGGGCAGAATCCCAGACCACCTGCCTGGATGGAAGAACAGTCCTCTGAAAGTATTGCTCATCTTAAAATCAGATTATAGGATCTTAAAATCTCAAAACTGAAATTGTCTGAAAACATTGCCTTCAAGAACTAGGATCCCCACAACATTAAAAAGAATAACAAAGAGAGAATTTCAAGATGGCAGCTGAGTTGGTGAACCTTGTATTCACCTCCTCCCAGAACCAGACTGGAAATTCACCTAAACTGGGGCGGAAATCACCCTGAAAGAACAACTGAAAACTGACTGAAGGAATTTATAACCAAGGAACTGTAAAAGATGCCACGTTGAGACTGGAGAGAGGGCAGACAAGCGAAAGGACTGGTCCTTTACACAGGCAGAGACTAAGGCACCAGAGGGATGACAGCTCAGTGGTGGAAGGTCCCACCTGAGAGACACAGGTCCTAATAAACCCCAGGATAGGCTCCCCAGCCCAGAACAGCTTAGCCAGGAAGAGACACCCACACAGCATTTGTGTTGAAAAGCTGGGGGGTTTCTGTCTGCCAAGGGGAGGTGGAGGCCACTTGAGGCACGGGCATTCTCTTAAAGGGCCGACATACAAAACTGCATTTGCCACCACTAATCCTGGGCTCTGGTGGAAGGAGGGCGGTAAAGATTGGAGTCATCTGAGGAGAATCTCAGGCTTGTGGCTCTGAGGAGAGACGGGGGGATGGCTGCCAGGATCCTGGTGCCGAGTCAATCTCAGATACTTAGAGCAAACATCTCTTTAGGGGAGCAGTCCCCTCCCAGCAGCTTCAGCCTGGAGGAATGCATTACCCCACCCTTAGGGATTTCACTCACCCCATGGGAGGAGGCAGTGACACAGGCCTGGGCACAGCAGCCTGGGCAGACTAGGGGAGATCGGGGCCTAGTTGTGGAGAGGGGCCACACACCCCCACCGTCAACTTCCCTGTGAACCTGACTGGTGCGTCCCCCTCAAGGGCAGATAAAGAACTTCCCAGAAGTTCATCACCACCAAACCAGAATTATATGGAATGTTAAAGGTCTTCTTTAAGAAGGTCAAAAAATATGAACAATAAAATGGCAGTAAATGCATATCTATCAACAGTTGCTTCTAAGACCCAAAATAAGAAGCAGAACAGAAACAGAATCATAGATACAGAGAACTTTTTGATGGTGCCAGATGGGAGGGGGGTCAGGAGATGTGCTAAAAGTGAAGAGATGGAGAAGTACAAGTTGGTGGTCACAGACTAGTCGTGAGGATAGAAAAAGTACAGCATGGGGAATGAGTAGACAAACAACATAAATGCATGACCTATGGACGTGGACTTCAGTGTGGGGGTTGCCTGAGGGAATGTGGGGGGCTGGATAGAGGGAAACAAGGGAAAAACTGGGGCAACTCTAGTTGCATAAACAATGAAATATAATTTTAAAAAATTGATACTTTATTTTTAAAAAGTAAATTCGAGTTATTAAAAAATCAGTAGCCTTTATATATACCAATAATGAACTATCAGAAAGAGAAATTTTAAAAAGTCCCATTTACTACTGCAGCAACAACAAAAAGTGAGGTACTTAGAAATAAACTTAACCAAGGAGTTCAAAGATCTGTACTTAGAAAACTATAGGACACTTAAAAGAAATTGAATAAGGTACAAATAGTGGAAGAATACACTGTGTTTATGGATTGGAAGAATTAAAATCATTAAAATGTCTGTACTTTTCAGATAATTTTAGCAATCCAAAGCACTTAAGACAATCCAGAGCAATGTATAGATTCAACACATTCCCCATGAAAATGCCAAAGATATATTTCATAGATCTAAGAACAAATATTTCAAAAATGTACATGGAATCAAAAAAAGACCCTGAATAGCCTCAGCAATCTTGAGGGGAAAAAATACAAAATTGCAGGTATCACAATAGCTGATTTCAAACTATACTACAAGGTCATTGTACTTGAAACACCCTGGTACTGGCATAAGAACAGGCATGTAGATCAATAGAAAAGAACAGAGTCCAGAAATCAGCCCAGGTCGGGTGGTCAATTAATAATTTGATAAGGGAGGTGAGAGCATGCAATAGAGTAAAGACTGTCTCTTCAACAAATGGTGTTGGTAGAATTGGGCAGATACATGCCAAAAAAGTGAAACTCGCTTCTAACTTACAGCATACACAGGGATAAACTCAAAATGGATAAAAGACTTAAATCTAAGTCATGAAACCATAAAAATCCTAGAAGAAAACAGGCAGTAAAATCTAAGGCATATCTTACAGCAATAGTTTTGCTGATACATCTAGGGCAAGGGAAGTAAAGAATATATAAAGAACATATACAACTCAACACCAGGTAGACAATCAATCTAATTAAAAAATGTTTAAAGGACCTCAATATATATTACTCCAAAGACAACATACAGATGGCTAGTAGACATATGAAAAAATGTTCAATGTCACTAATCATCAGAGAAATGGAAATTAAAACCACAATGAGATAGCACCTTGCACCTGCTAGAGTGGCTGTCATCAATAAATCAGCAAACAACAAGTGCTGGTGAGGTTGCAGAGAAAAGGGGACCCTAATGCACTGTTGGTGGGACTGCAGGCTGGTGCAGCCACTATGGAAAACAGTGAGTTACCCCCAAAATATTAAAAATGGAAGTGCATTTTGTCCCAGCAATTCCACTTCTGGGAATATATCGTAAGAATCCTGAAACACTGATCAAAAAGGTAATATACAGCTCAAGTGCCCATCAGTAGATGAGTGGATAAGAGATGTGGTACATTTATACAATGGAATTCCAAGGCTGTAAAAAAAAAAAAAGAAGGAACTCTTACCCTTTGGGACAGTATGGATGGACCTGAAGAATACCATGCTGAGTGGAATATGCCAATCAGAGAAAGACAAATACCATATGATCTCACTCATGTGTGGAATCTAATGAACAAACTGAAGAACCAGAGGCATGGATACATGAACAGACTGACAGATCTCAGAAGGAGGGGGAGGAATTGGAAGAAATTAGCCAGAGAACATACATGCATAGCCCATGGACACTGACAACAGTGTGGTGAAGGCTGAAGGTGGGGGTTGGACGGAGGAAGACTAAGGGGGGAACTGGGGGACATCTGTAATAGTGTCAACAGTTTATAAAAATGTTTACAAATAAAAGAAGAACAAGGAATGTTACAGGTCTTTTTAATTGAAGAACTCTTACCTCCTTTTTTCTGGAACAGTGATGTACAGACCCAAACCTAAGCAGGCGTTTTAAAACCTCTGATTAAATCAGACTGCATCCATCTGAACCTATTTTTCTCTCTCCAATTTCACAAATTTTAGGGATAAAAAAGTACATTTACTTTTCTGAATCCTTAGTGCTTTCTAGCCTGAGTCAGGATTTCTGTTGTATGCACTTCTCCTTATTTTTACATTCAGCTGAGAGTAACGCTGGAGAGAAGCATGTCACGGTCAGATTGGTGCCAGCGCAACTTCCCGCCGCTCCTTTAGTGGGGTGCCGGGCAGGGACCGCAGCCTCTTTCCTGGGGTAGCTCTTCTGCCTGTTCTCAACAGTTGCCTCCATTCGTTTTAAATGCTTGACCCAAAGATCTTCACTCACTCCCAATAACCTATTCAACTTACAAAGATGGTAGAAGCCATTAGAAGGAAACTCCCTTTTAGTGGAACCTATGAACTCCCTGTATGCTCTGTCTAATGCACTAAAAAAGGGGGCTCTTTGTACCACAAAGGTTGACCACTTCACCCTGCCCTAGACCCACCCATCCACGCCTCTCAGAACCTCATGTTACTGATCGTCCTCTCCCTGCCCTGTTAGGGTCAGTGTGTCTTTCTAAGACACAGTTATAAGTGAATAAGGCCTATGTCTGGTAATGAACCCTCAGGAGACAGGAGCAGTTGGCCCCATCCTCATGGACAGGAGGAGGTTGATGGATGAAGAAAGAAACTATTGTGGCACATGACCTTGGGCAGACCATTTTCTGTATCCGGGGCCCAGGATGCTTTATCTGTGGAGTGAGACGGGGGATTGATTACATGACCTACTCCCTGCAGGCTCCAGCATTGTGTCGGTTTCTGCCCTGTTGATCACCCGTTGGCTTCTACACCGAACGCACCGTCCATATCTCTGAATACTGTGCCACGTGTTGCAGAATCATTTCCTTTTGCTGGGTAATACTTATACTCTAAGGAGGATACCATGATACACTTATTCCCTTTAATTGTTGGGCATTTGGATTATTTCCAGTTTTCCACCCTTCTGCAGATACAGAAGCAAACCTCTTTAAAGATACATCCTTGAATGTTATCTTAATTTTTCCCTAAGATAAATTCTAGATATTTGATAGCCAAGTAATTGTTGCTTGTGCATATTGCCCCAAAGTAATACAGGAAGTATCAATTTTTTTATTCCCATGAAAACATCTTTTTCCTAATATTCTCTTCAACAATCAGTTATTTTAAACATCTGCCAGTTTGATAAGCAGAAATAGGATCTTATTCTGGTTTTAACTTTCATTTCTCTGATTACTAGTGAGCCTAGCATGTCGAATGGTCACTTGCTTTTTTTCCCACTCATCTCCGCTTTTCTTTGTTTTGACTGTATATCCCATAATATATTAATAACAGTAACCCTTATTACATGCAGAACATATATTGTCTCAGTTATCCTTTGTCTTTCGATTATTATTTTGGTTATTTAAGAAGTTACTATGAGAAATTCCAAACGTAATACAAAGGTGGATCAAATAGTGTGGCACACTTCCATGTATGCACGGCAGTTGCTGAAGTTACCAGCTCATGCCTAGTCTCATTTCATAAACAAAAGTGATGGCATTTTTTGAGATAGAAACTTCTGAATGCTGATGTGGTTCATCTTCGCTCTTTCCCTTCACATTTCTGCCTTTGGTATATTCCAGACGTGGCCTTGGCTGCCGTCCTCGTCCCCGTGCTCGTCATGGTGCTCACCTCCCTCATTCTCACACTGGTGTGTGTGTGGCACTGGAGAAACAGGTCAGTGTGTGGGTGCACCTCCCTGGGCCTGGAGGGGCGATTCCACGTGTGGCAGAGGCTCGGTACAGAAGATGAACTGTAACTCGTCTCTGAGAGGGAGAATTAAGGTAGCCGTTAAAATAAAAGTACATGTTCCTCCTTTATTCCCTGAAAAAGTGAGTATGTTCAATCACTGAGTACCTTTATTGTGTCAGATTCTGCAGTCCACACTGTCATATACACATTAAGAAGAAGAATTTCTTAACACAAAGTGAATAGGTGCTTTGTAATACTTACTGAAGGAACAAAACACACTTGCTGTCTCCAAGGTGTTGGGCAGGATGGCACAAAGTGAAGAAGTGTAATATAATTTTATGAGTTATTTATGAAGTGCTGGAGAATACAAATGCAAGAACCCTGAGAGTTTTCTGAAATCTTTCCTCAGGAAGGACTATATTTTACTAAAAAAGAAGGGGTTGGATTTGGCTAGATAGTGGAAGGTAGAGAATGGCCCAGACTGATGCAGCTGCCTTGGGCAAAAGCACAGCTCGGTGGGATGTGGGCAGAATAGCAAGTCCGTTCATGGCGTGGGTTTGGCATGGGAGAGCGCTGGGGAGGAACCGCAGGAAGGTAGCCGGGGCCAGGACCAGGGAGAGCTTCCTGGGGGAGAGAAGTTGGGATTTCACTCTGTCGATTGGAAATCCTCGGAGTGTGTTGAGCAGACAGGTGGTATTACCAGAGGATTGTGGAAAAACACCGGCAGGAGTTTTGCAGAATAGATTGAAGAAGAGGTACTAGAAGAGACAGAAAGAAGGATTAGGAAACAGTGACGGGTGGGCAAGAACATGTCACAGTGATTCTGGAAAAAAGAGAGCTGAAGAGGGAGAGCTGTCGGAGTCTCAGCAGCGAGATGCGTGACTGGCTGTCACGTCCAGGAAGTGGGAGGGATCTAGGACGATGGGAAGTTCCTGGCTTCTGCAGTCAGACCAGTGGGGATGTTGTGAGTTGAGCTAATAGAGCAGGGGGACAGTTTTGGTGGAGGAAGGGAATGACTTCCTTTGGCCATCTAAGAAGTATTTGAGCACTTGCCCCGTGCCTAGCAGTGAGTGATGAACCCCGAACTTTACAGAATGGAAGAGGATACAGTGTGGAAGACTGTCGGCCGTGGTACTGACATGGATCCCAGTGGGTCCCAGACTCATGATGTCGGGAGGTTGTCTGAGCAGAAACCCAACAAGTTAGTCTGAGGGCATTAGGGGAAGATGGAGGGGACAGGGCTTTAGGGAGGACCAGGAAAGACACTCCTGACGCTCCCAGGGAACTGGACAGCAACAACAGTAACAATGAGAATAGCAGCAACAGTTCATTTTTATAGAAAACTAAATGCTAATTTTAGGTATAACTCTAAATGCCTTGCATGTTTTAACTAATTTGATCTTCACAACAACCTATGAAAAAGGTACTGTTATAAATCCCATTGACAGAAGAAGAAAGTAACATAGGAGCATATATAACTTGCCCAAGGTCACCTGGACAGTACATGGCAGAGTGGAGTTTGGGACCTGGATGCAGAGCCCACGGACTTAACCACTGCTGCCTCTGAACGTGTCATCGGTCAGTGAGGTCAGATCCACTGGTTAAAGCACAGGGACGTGGGAGTGAGGATTGAGGAGTAGAGTTGGCGAGGGGGAGGTGGGACGCAAGTCTTCTGATCAGTTCAGGGTGGTGTTTAAAGAACACTGCGGATATTCAGACTCCCAGGAGGCAGATGCAGTCTGTGTCTGTTCAAGACAAAGGGTCTGCGCTGCAGAACTGAAGTAACTTCTGAGCATGGCGGTGGAAATTGCTGACAGCTGGCTTCACAAGAATAAAGGAGAAGATACTATTAAAGGGCTGTGGAAAATAGTGAGGAGGAGAATAATTAAAACAGCTGCAATGATCGGAACCTTAACTCATGCCAAGCACTGTTCTAAGCACTTGACATGTAATGAGTAAATAACCTGAAGCTTTGAGAGTATATTAAATCTTTTATAGTACAACCCTTGGCTAATAATCATACCATTCATTGTCCCAGGACATACCATGCATAGGACAGTTAATTCTAACCATGTAAGGCATCTAACTTGCATTTAGAAAGGATTGTTGATTTCCTTTTATTTAGAAATCTTATGGTAATTTGAGGATTTTTCAGGAGAAAAGTTACTATTAAACCAATATTTTAATATTACATTGCAGTTATTGATTACTACCTTCAGCACCTGCCATCTCTTCCACAAATTTTACATTGTACTTTACTTTGGGATAATGAAATGTTTCGTTTTAAATACAGTCAGATGCTAGAATAAGGAGGTCTTTAATATCAATACTGTAAGCACAGTTTAATGCTGGAGAAGAGTTTCCGGGTAGGAAAAGCACACAGCTTGGGCTCTCTGAGAACCCCACATTTGTGATCTTGAGCAGATCACATAACCGTCGTGTCCTGTTTTATGCCCTGGTATATGTCTGCTTTCTCTCAAGCTTGCAAAGCATTAACTTCAATTAGATTCACATCCTTGAATCAGAAACTGCCCTTTGTAAAAGGCTCTTGGTAGGTGGTAATTCTTAATGAAGGGATGGGAGCTTCTTCCTGGGGTGGGAGGATGGGTCAGAATTCGGAGGGGCGGACTGGGCAGCATCTTCTCTGCTGTACATGTAGCTCTCATCGCTCAGGCCAGGAGAACCCTGTTTCCTTCCCTCAGCTGTCTGTCACTGTTGATGACAGAGTTGATTTATCTTGGATGGTAGGGGGAATTTAGCCGACACAGTTAAGCAGGTGTGACACTTGAAACTTCTCTGGGACAGAGGACCATAGATGAAAAGTAGGAAATGAGAAGAATAACAATGCAGAAGAAAAAGTGGGGATTTTCGTTCTGTGAAATTTGTATTTGAAACCAAATCAGACCTACCGTGATTTTGCCATGCAGTACCCACACATCAGGGCTAGATCTCTGATTTGATTCAGTCTTTTTACCTACAGACTGAGCCTTTTTTATTTATTCCTTTTGAAATAGTTGGGTAATGAGATAACTCTCTCAGGAGACAGTTAATATTAATTGAGAATCCAGAATTTATTAACCTCAACAAAATCAAATGGAATGGAGGACTCTGCCAGGTGAGCAGCAAGCGGAAATATGTGCTCATGACTAATTATTAACTTTGATGTTTGTCCTGCAGTTTCAGGGCTGTTTTGCTAGTGAATTCACTCTATTTGCTAACTTTTTTCTGTACTTTTCCAGAAAGAAAAAAACGGAAGGCACCTATGATTTACCTTACTGGGACCGGGCAGGTAACTCACGACTTTGCACCTCTTTCTGTCAGCAGGGGGTCCCTCCACTCCAGGTGGCGGTAGTGAAAGGAAAGTTGTTTTCAGGCCCATTTAAAGGCCTCGGCACTGTTAGAAAAACACACTCCTCCTCTGTTCTGTTCATTTTCACTCTTCTGTTAAATCTCGTCTAGTCACTAAGTAGTGAAATGGAAAGGAATTCTGTTTCTTCTGGAAAATTTGTCTGGTTTTTATCATCTATTTCTCTTGAGGAGACCAGCTTTCTTTAAGGCCCATATGAACACTGTAAGAAGCAGAGGATTTGGGTCCTAATAGCAAACACACTGTACTGTGGGTGTTTACCAGGTGGACTCCCACCGTGTAGAAATCTGTGAACTCTGCCATCTCTGCCATGTTGAGTTGTCATCTTCTGAATTCCAACTCTGTGCGGCAGGTGGCAGATGGCTGCGAGTTACACCAGAGACCCCCTACAGGTCTCCCACTTCCGGACACTCTACTTAAGCAAATCTTAGGAACCGAGGGTTCATTCACCACTGTGACCAGGGTTAGAAAGAACCATGGTAGATGTTCATCACATGCTGCTAGCCCCCAAGGTGGGTCTTGGAAAGTATCTTTTGGAGAAAACAAACAATATTAAAAATCGCCCCTACCACAGACAGACTATATCTGCCTAGTAATCTGCTTCTGTATATGCTTTTGATAAAGATTTCTACTATGTTCTGCTTTGCACTGGGTATTCTATCAAAGCAAAAAATAATCTTGAACAACTTAAGGAACTGGAAACAAGAAAAACTAAACCCAAAGCTACCATAAGGGAGTAAATAATAAAGATTAGAGGAGAGATAAACAAAATAGGGAATAGGAAAACAGTAGAGAAAATCAATGAAACCAAAAGTTGGTTCTTCAAAAAGATCAACAGAAGTGACAGACCTTTAGCTAGATGGACTAAAAAAGGGGGGAGAAGATTCAAATTATTGTAATCAGAATTAAAGTGGCAACATTTCTACCAATTCTGTAAAAATGCAAAGGAAATAAGACAACACTATGAAAATTTGTACACCAAAAAATTGAATAACTTAGATGCAGTGCATCAATTCTGAGCAGCACAAAACCTACCAAGGCTGAATCATGAAGAAATAGAAAACTGGAACAAACCTAAAACTAGTAAAGAGGTTGAGTTAATAATAAAAAAAAATCTCCCAATAGAGAAAAGTCCTGGACCTGACAGCTTCACTGGCAAATTCTACCAAAAATTTGAAGAAGAACTAAACCTTAAAGATTCCACCACAAGAAGCTATTAAAACCAATAAATGCACTCAGCAAAGCGGCAGGACAGTCCACATGCGAAGCCCAGCTGTGTTCCTATACACAACAATCTGAATGGAAATTACAGAAACTGCTGCATTGCTAATAGCATCAAAAAGAGTAAAATAGTTAGGAATTAGCCAAGGAAGTAAAAGACTTAAACTATGATGAAAATACTGCTAACAGAAATTTTTTAAACCATAAATAGAAACACATCCTGTGTTCAGGAATTGGAAGGTTTAATATTGTTAACATCACTACTACACACAGCAATCTACAGATTCAGTATGAATCCCCATCACAGTCCCAGTGATATTTTTGCAAAATTCATCCTAAAATTCCAGCACTCTAAATAGCCCAATCTTTAAAAAGAACAAAATTGGGAGACTCTCACTTCCTCATTTCAAAACTTACTCCAAAGCAGCAGTGATCAAAACTGTGTGGTAGAGGGAGCAGTGTGATAGTGGCAGACGGAGAGAGAGAGACTAATGGAATAGAGAGCCCGGAAATAAACCCTCGCAAATACGGACACGTGATTTTTGACGAGCGTGCCCAGACCATTCACTGAGGAAAGGACTGTCATTTTTTCCACAAATGGTGTGGGGAAAACTGGATATCCACATGCAAAAGAATGGAGTTGGACCCTAATGCCATGTGCAAAAGTTCACTCAGAATGGATCAAGGACTAAAATAAAGGTCTAAAAACAATAAAATTCTTAGAAGAAAACCTAGGACAAAAACTCCATAACATTGGATTTGGCATTGATTTCTAAATATGACACCAAATGCCCAGATAACAAAAGAAAAAAGTAGATAATTGGACTTCATGAAAATTTCTAAATTTTGTATATTAAAAGATTACTCAGTGGATTGAGTGCTGGCCTTCGAACCACAGGATCGTGGTTCAAGTCCCAGTCAGGGCACATGCCTGGGTTGCAGGCAAATTCCCAGCAGGGTATGCACTAGAGGCAACCATACATTGATGTTTCTCTCCCTCTCTCCTTCCCTTCCCCTCTAAAGATAAATAAATAAATAAAAATCTTTAAAAAAAAAAAGATTATCCACAGAATAAAAGGGCAACCCACAGAATGGAAGAAAATATTTGCAAATCATATATTTGATGAAGGAATAATACTTAGAATATTTATGGCATTTCTAAAACTCAACAACAAAAACAATTCAATTCAAAAATAGGCAAAGGACTTGAATGGTCATTTCTCCAGAGAATCTATCTACAAATGGCAATGAGCACATGAAAAGATACTCAGCTGATCTTTAGGGAAATGCAAATCAAAATTACAATGAGATGCCACCTCACCCACACCTATTCGGATGATGCCCTACTTAAAAACGTGTTGGTGAAGCTGTAGAGAAACTGGAAATACTGTTGGTGGGAATGTAAAAAGTTAATAGCTGCTGTGTAAAACACTATGGTAATTCAAAAAGTTAAAAATAGAACTGCCATATGATTCACCAGTTCCACTTGGGTATATACGTATCTATGATAATGAAAAGCAAGGTCCCAAATGTTTCTACACCCATTTTCATTGCACTATTATTTACAACAGTTAAAATGTAGAAACATCAATTGATGAATGTATGTGTAATATATATACGCAGTGGAATATTCTTTAATTTTTTGTATTGTAGACACTATTACAGATGTCCCCCATTTATATTATCCATTCTTAAAAAGGAAATTCTGCATCATGCTACAACATGGATGAACCTTAAAAACATTGTGCTGAGTGAAATAAGTTAGTCACAAAGACAAATCCCATGAGAGGAATTCCCCTCATACAGGTTACTTGGAGGAGTTACAATCAAGACAGGAAGCAGAATCGTGGTTACCAGGAGCTGGGTGGAGGGGAAACTAGGGCATTACTGTTTTAATAGGTACAGAGTTCAGTTGTACAAGATGAGGAGTTAGAGATGGATAGCAGTGATGGTTGTACGTGTGAATGTATTTAATACCACTGAACTGTGCACTTGAAAGTGGTTAAGATGGTGAATTTTGTTATGTGTATTCTACCACAATAAAAAAGAAGCTTGGCCTTGGCTGGAGCATCACGCCCTGCACCAAAAGGTTATGCAGTTGGTCTCTGGTTGGGCTGCACACAGGAGGCAACCAGTGTTACCCTCTCATATCGATGTTCCTCTCTCTCCCTGCCTCTCTCTAAAATCAATTTTAAAAAACCCTCGGGTGAGGATTAAAACAGAAGAGGCTTGAACGTAAAGGCTAGTTTGTCTAGATATTTGTTACAGAAATGGCTTAAATGAAACAGAACTTCATATACTGTCACGATTTCAGACACGGGTTTTTATTTAATGGTCTCTCTCGCTTACAATCACGATGAAGGTTGGTGGAAGGGAATGAAGCAGTTTCTCCCTGCCAAGTCAGTGGAACCCGAGGAAACGCCAGTTCGCTACAGCAGTAGTGAGGTTAATCACCTGAGTCCGAGAGAGGTCACCACGGTGCTGCAGGCCGACTCTGCAGGTAACTACGTGGCAGCCTTCAGCCTGGTCGAAGGAGAGCTGCCATGCTTGCTGTACGGTGCTTTGGGGGTTGCAGTCTCTTTTGTGTTTTTCCTGTGTGTGAGAGATCAGCTACTTTCAGGAGGTAGAGCACTTTTTAAAAAGCTGATCTGGACTAATTTCTGTGCCTCAGATGTTCTAGCCATACAGTTGGGGCATTCACTTCAAAAAACTATGGACATTTTTTGTCTTTTTACCTGGAAATTTGGTTTTATTGGGGATATAGAGATGTTAAAAAAATGAGCAGGAAATATATAGTGAGCCTTACTGTATTTATCATATTCACCTGGTATGTATTTATTGTAGATAGTTCCCCTGAAATTATATTTTAATATTACTCAAATATTAAACATTTCCAATGAAACACTGTCTATATATCTGAAGAACTGATACAAACACTCTTTATATAATAGCACATGAATGAGGCTTCCTGGCATAGTCACTTATTACTGTACCATACAAGACAGCATCTTTCATTTTAATTTTGAAGTTGGTTCTTACAGTGTCTGTGTTGGCAACAACAAAAGTTCCATGAAGAAGTGTTTGCTTTTGGTGTAAGCCTGAGGCTTCCACCCTAAATTGTATAGGCTGTGTGTCAGTGAGATGACTGTCTGTTGTTTGTCTTCCACACTGTCCACAGAGTATGCACAGCCACTCGTGGGAGGACTTGTTGGCACACTTCACCAGAGGTCCACCTTTAAACCAGAAGAAGGAAGAGAGACAGGCTACGCCGACCTCGATCCTTACAACTCCCCGATGCAGGAAGTTTATCATGCCTACGCCGAACCACTCCCGATTACTGGGCCGGAGTATGCAACCCCGATTGTCATGGATATATCGGGGCACACCACAGCTTCGGTTGGTCTGCCCTCAACGTCCACTTTCAAAGCTGCAGGGAACCAACCTCCTCCTTTAGTGGGGACATACAGCACTCTTCTCTCCAGGACGGACAGCTGCTCCTCAGCCCGGGCCCAGTATGATACCCCAAAAGGTGGGAAGCCAGGTCCCAGTGCCCCGGACGAATTGGTGTACCAGGTGCCACACAGCGCACAGGAGGCATCGGGAACAGGGAGGGATGGTGACGACGGTGGTGTTTCTAAAGAAATCCTCTAAAGGTGATGCTGCTCTTTACGAAGCATCGTTTTAAAGCACACGGCCTTTTTGTCCTATTAGTGGTAGTGATACAGAGAATGTACTACATGTCTGTCATGAATGTCACTGGGGAAACGGGGTGACCGAGGTACGGAAACTACTAATCTTGTCATCTTGCTTTGAAAGTGTTACTGTGGCGCGCTTACTGCTTGCCCGTTAAGTTTTGAACATCCTGTTTGTTACTACTGTAAAACACTATTTTTAACACAGAAAAAGCTCCCTACTATGCACTTCAAAGAAATTAAAAATCACTGAGTAAATATTTATTACCGATGCTGCAGGTACATGTGATAAATTCAAGAAGTGGCTTTGTGAGCCTGACTGGCAATACGCATGGCACTGTTCTTGAAATGCCTAATGGCTTGACATTCTGCTCTTTGTTAAGGATGGGTACTGCCATGAGTTCCTCCTCTCCTATTCCAGTGTTGCTTTCTGGGTTTTTAAAAAATGGTGACAAGTGATACAATCATTGTTTGCATTGCAGTCATATGCACTTGTCCGTTTTTCCTTAGGAGAGCTCTAGGTGAGAAACTCTGGCTTGTGATGAGCAGGGTGACTGATTTTCACTTTTTCACACTCTTCAGTGCTTTGACATTGACGGTACATGACCCGGTCCTGTCCCTGCCTGTTCCACCTGGGACCTGTGGTGACAAACCCTGTCCTTGTGTTTATAAATAAAACATTTGGGTTTTTTCAGGGGGTGATTATTGCTTTATCAAACCTCACAAATTCACATGTTTAAGTTTACTTCTGTATGTGGAGATGGGAACTTTACAATTTAAAAAAGCTCTAAAAGAGATCCCGTTCCTCCCCTCCAACTTGATTTGCAGTGGGATTTTTCCTGAGCGAGTTGTGAAAAGTTGAGGGCTTCCAAGCAGACACTGTAAACACAACCCACTTAATACTTATCACAGTGAAAGGCAGAACCAGTCTTCGGAAGTCATATAAATTACCTTTAAAAAAAAGTAGCCAGAATTTGCTCTCTTTCATCTTAAGTGTAGGTAGATTTTTTTCTTTAAATCGCAAGGTATTTTTTTACTTTTAATTAAATTTTAAAAATTCAGTTTTCCATAAACTATTATAAGATCTATAAACCCAACGTGTACTCTTCAGCTCTGTGTGCATGTGCCTGCTGTGTGGTAAGAGGTGGGAGTATTTCTGTGTATCCTGCCGCACCGACGAAGAGGGGTCACAGGGGTCACAGCGTCCCAGCGTCCCTGCACGGGACCTTGCACGTGGAATTCGATATTCTGGGCAACTTGTTAGTCGCCACTTGCCCAGAACTAGTTTCAGGTTTGTGAAATAGAAATCGTCTGCAGTTTACCAGCCTGTAATGTAAAAACCATGTTTAAATGTCTTTAGACTGGCAACATGATATAAGCTGGCCATGTGATTAAAATTTGACATCCCTTCTTCTGTAAACCTTAATTTGTAGACGTAATAGAAATGTACTTTTCCACTGGGTCCAAGTTATCTCTGTTGGCTTGGGCCACCAGGTATGTTGTTGCCAGAATTTGCTAAATTTGACTAGTGGTGAACAGTCTTCATTTGTTGCTTCCTGGGTATATCAGTAAGCTAAATTATTGCTTCAAAACAGAACCATGTATTCCTACAGCCTCCTTGCCCTCTACTCGGTTGGGTTTATTTTTATTTGCTTTTGCTTCTCCAAATACACTATGAGGCACAATTTTCTTCATAGAAAAGCCAATACATACTTTGTTTTAAAACATTTGAAATAAAAAGCACAGGTATTGAACTTCTATTAGAATACACGGATGTGTGAAGCACATGTATTAATGGAGTCACCCCCTTTCAGGGGCGAAGAGAGTAAGCCAATTGCTTTATTTTTTTAATTCATCCTTAGTACACAGAGAATATACTTTTCCTAAAATCGTATGCCTGAAGCTTTAAGAGAAATGTTTTCAGTGACTATTTCATTTTCCCAAAGATGCTCACTACTTTTATGTATTTGTGTGCACCTCCTTTTCCCATAGAAGTTTTTTGGGTTTTTTTTTTTGAGAAGCCAGTGTTTCCTTAAACGACGCGTGTTGTTTCATGAAGACTTGATTCATGTTGCCACTGCGCTGGCCTTGAACTGCCAATGATTTTTACAAAATACTGAGTTTTTACTACTTTTATGTATTTGACTTTCCAAATGAAGAGCTGAGCCTGATTCAAAGGGTTGTTCTGGTTTTGTACTTTTAGTTTGTTTTCATAGTTGAGTTTTGGGGTTTGGGTTTTTTTTTTTTAACTGCGTTTATGTGTCTGGTATATATATATATATATATATATATATATATATATATATATATATATACAGCTTTGAAGACAATCAAATAACAACTGAAAATGTGAAATCAGCCATTTTTTACAAAATGTCCTTGAATCTTTATTCTTTGCTTGAAACATGTAAAAGACTTCAGTCACTGTGGTTTATTGAGTTACATGTTTTTTCCTGTTAATACAGCTATAAAAACAGAATCAGACAATGGTGCCAGGAGTGTGGCCATTACATGTTTCATAAAAGTTACACTGACTTCACTATTCCTTGATCTTAGGAACCAGCACAGTTAAAGATATTGTGAATGCCGATTATATTTTATTGAAAGCTGTATATCCAAATAGATCCTTTTGTTATGCTGGGTCTAGTCCAGTTATTTAAATTCATGTTTCACTGTTTGCACTTTGCATTGAACAATGGGTTTAGTTCGCTGATGAAATGGTTCTGGTAGAGAAATTATACAGTAACCAAAAATATGCTGTGTGTACTTGCCCTTGCCCCCCCGGGGGGAGGGGCAGAAAATGAGCTCGTCTAAATATTGATGTGGCTAAAATTCCATGGGAAGTGATAAAGCTTGAACTTGTTGCCGTGGCTTCACATTGTCATCTGTAGAACAGATGACACGATTAGAAAGAACTAATAGATTATGCTTTTCAGACATTTCCAAGAGATATTAGTGAAATCAGTGAAGCGCTCCCTGAAAGTTACCTATTAGCTCTGCCTTTCAATTCTGAACTTGAAGTCCATAAACTGCAAAATCTGAGTTGGATGGTTATTAAAATATTTTCTAGATCACGTGTGGCACCAATTCTCATTTAATCAGCTTGTGACTAGTTTCTTCTCTCCCCCCGCCCCAATTTTTTGGCACTAGGAATGGTGGAAACAAAACATATTGAAATACATTATTGGAAATAAAAATGGCTTGAGTGTCAGTGATATTCTCCCAGAATGTACTTTTCTTACCTCGGCATGTACTGTAGTCACTCAGTATTTGTATATGTTGCTAGAATTTAGATTGTATAAACAGTGAGATTTTAATGTGTTCATGTGTTTTAATAAATTGTATATATGTGTCTTGCTCAGATTTTTTTTTTTTTTTTTGCTTAACTAAAACCACCTTGCAGTTTATACCCCTCCCTTATGCTACACAAAATACCAGATTCCTCGGTTTTAACATCAGTCAGAAAATTTTATGGCCAATATTATAGTACACACAGTAACATCTAGAAATGCCCACATATTGGCTTTTGACTTTGACTTTTTCTGTAGCCAGCAGTATCCTTGCCGAAGCTGGAATTACTTTGCATCAAACTGAACTTCACCAGCCCAACGTCAGCCTCTCGCTGGCTGTGTGGTAGGAGGGAAAGGTCACACCAACACGTGGAGTCCAGTCTAGTGCTGGCCTTTCCACCGCAGAATTATTAGGAGAATCACATGAAACCGGTACTGTGCAAATGTATGCTATTAACAAAACGTCTTCCATATTTAATGTCTGGATCTGGATTAAACCAACTACTTTCCTCCCTTACCCCGCTTTGTCAGTACTTCATTTATTCCTGTTTCTGGTCTGACACTTCACCCTTGATACACTTTCTTCAGAGAGGCCAGTTGGTTTTCAGTAACATCAGCGTCTCCTAGTGATACTAGTTTGTTCGGCTCATATTTCTTCTGATATCTTATCACTTCTGTTCTCTTCCCTTCTTCACCACTGTCCACCCCACCCCACCATAGCCTTCAGCCATAAGCTTTCAAATGGAAAGGGAGACCAGCTGTTTGTAAGGCTGGCTTGTTTGCCAACTTGTAGGATTCTTCTCTGGTGAAGCCTAAGTAGCCAGGGAAACTCTCCATTTGAAGATGAGAGATGAAAATACCATTTAGATCCAAAAACACCTTGACTCTTCTTCAGGGTTCCTTGTGCCTTTTTCATCTTTCTAATTTACTTCAAATAGTAAACTTTTAATTAAACCAGGCAACACACAAAGTTTAAGGATTTTCTCCTTGAATGTCTCTAACTCAGCTTCTTCGTATAAACTTTATTTCTTTGAAATAACACAATCACAAGACTTTAAAAACTGCACTCTTTGGTTATTTACTCGCCTACAATTTCACGTTTGGCCTATTTCCACGTAAAAACAAAAACTACCATCTTTATTCTACCTAATTACTCATCATAATTGTGTTTTACTTAATTGCAGGACAAAAAGCCTATTTATACCCCATGATCTTAGATTTCCATTACCATCTACACTGCCGTATTCAGAGATGGTTTAATATTCAAATCAGGTTCCTTAAATCAAGCAAACAAACTGAACAGCCATCCAGATACAGACCTGAAGTGCTCCCAGCCCAGCCTGCCACACGGAGGCAGGGCCACGTGCCCCCCACAATCTGCAGTCCCCATATGTCATCTTGTACTTCATTGCAGTGAATTTAAATTTCCATACTTACTAGGAAAACGCATCCCTTCAAAAGTGTAAGATGAAATAACTAAAAAGATGCTTTAAAACACCTCAAAACTAGCTTATTTTAAAACGCAATTATAACATCTTTCCCTGATATCCTGATCTCTTGGTTTTCATAAATTAAATACAGTCATAGAAATTAAGCTGGTGGTTATGAATCACCAGGCGGCAATCGGCTTAATATACAGGGTCCAGCACCAAAAAAACCCCGCCCCCATTTTATTACAAAATAATGAGCACGACAGTCTGTAACCTATCAATATACTGAACCACACCATGTGACATTTTAGGTGAGATGTTCAAATTAAAACTATAAATTATGACACCCAAATGGTCCCCTCGAGTTACTCAAGCAGGCGTAACTTCTGCTGGACCCTGTACCTCATTTCTTAACAAGTGCATACATTTAAAAATAAACTAAAAATTGCAGTATAAAAATAAAACTATACTGTTAGTATTATCTTCGCTGTCCGGAGGGTCAGTCTGGAATCAAGTTGACTACAAAGTTCTTTTCCGTAATGTCCTTCAAAAAGAGCTGCTCTGCCGTCACGTTGTGATACTCACTCTAGGAAATGAAAGTAAAACAAAGTCACCAGTTATCCCAGTCTCAGGGAACAGCAGCAGTGGAATATGCTGCGTCTAAAAAACTTGGGAATGAAAACCTCAAATGTGGCCAGTGGCTGTGACTTCATGGGCTATAACCATATATCTCATGGAAATCACAGTTCAGTATTAGAAGTGTACAGGTAACATCTTAACCCTATCATTTAGGATGTGCCACTAGTTCAAGTTAGAAATAGGAAAGGAGAAAACTCCTTCCCAGTCTATTAAATAAAAATGTGAAGATTCAAATCAACTACCATTGATTCCTAATTCAAGAGAAGCGTGATCTACTATTAAAAGATTATAACCTTCCTGGCCATAAAGATGCTTTCGCGGAGTTAAAATGTTACAGACCTTCTTGTCTATTTAACTGAAAAAATAACATGAAAATAATTACCATGGAAATGGCTATGCTTTTAGGTGAATTTGTAATATACTCTCAACAGTAGATTGATTACATGTATATTTAAATAGTGCAAATTTCGGACAGTATCTAAGACAAGGCTTGGTCCCTGTGTGGGTTTGATGATACTTGACAAAAACAGATTGTCCCAAGAGTCTGAGGCCCTCAGACTGGGAACTGCTACTGTAGCAAAACACTCTGGACTTGAGCCCTAATTTCTGCACTGCGTAGCTCTGTAACCCATATCAAGCCCTCGACCTCTCAAAAGCTCTTCCCTCAGTAAAGTGACAGGGTGAGAAGAGAGAAAATAGGTTTTCCAACCCCAAAAATCAAAGATCACACGCACACACGCACACGTGTATTACCTGGTTCATCAAAGACATGGTATCGTTTCCATAGTAGTGCAAAGGACTCTTGAGGTCAGAAAAGTTGTATTTAAAACCAGCAAGGTGAACTTCATGACATATATGAAATGCCAACGTGATGGCGATAATGCCCGTCGTTGGGTGTTTGGGTTTCTGGGGAAGGGAATTAAGACTTTTCTTAAAATCCAAATGAGACACTTGCTCCCAAAGCCTAGGTGAGTGTCCTAATCTTACAAATTGGATAATTTAACTAGGTCTAGGGAAAGACTAACTTTAACCAAGTAACTTCAGTGATTAAGTTGTACTAGTAAGTCTTACAACATACTAGTTGTACCAAAGTACTACTTACAACTAGGAAGAACAACTTACTAGTTTCTGATTAGAAAACAAGGATTCCAGACATATGCATAGTAACATCACAGTCTCAAGTGGATCCTTATTAATTTAAAAACAAAAAAAGAAAAAGCACCATGTGTACATACATTCAGAAAGTGTGCTATAACAGGTTTGACGGGAGGACCTTGGCATTCAAGTTTTCCTTCTTAGTAGGATGGCCTTCAAAGGCATAAACAAAATGTATCAAAGAGTTGGTTTATTTGGGTTTTTTTAGGGGAAGAGGGAAACAGGAAGAGAAACACTGATGTCAGAGTGAAATATCAACCGGTTGCTGCTCGTACCCACCTCAGTCAGGACTGAACCCACAACCCAGGCGTGTGCCCCGACTGGGCATTGAAACCACCTTTGTGGGACGAAACTCGACCACCGAGCCACACCAGTCGGGGCGGAATCAAAGGTTTATCACAACAATTCGAGGAGATTTCCTTTTGCTTAAATGTTTTTTACAGAGCCCCTGGAAATTACATGTGACTAATCGGGATTTTGAGGAAGGAAAAGAAAATCAAAGAAGCACAATACAATCGAGTAAACATCAAGAGGCAAAGAAAGACTAACAGCCTTTCATACAAGATTTTCTTTACCCCATGCACTACGGTGACTTCACCACCATATGCTGGGAAAGGAGGTTCACGGCTGGGTTAGCGACTCAGCCACCCAACGCCGCTGACCCATCCCACCTCTGTTTCCATCTCCTGCGCCTCCCTGTGTCCTGACTTCCTTTCATCACACCTTAGAGCACTTCATTACGATTATTCCCGTCAATTCTCTGGCACCTGTCACGCACAGAACCTGCATTATACCTGATCATCTTAATCCTGGTTAAACCCACACCCGAGCAGAACAGGGCAAGAGAAACAATGTACCAGCCTGGTCACATGTAACATTTATGACCAAAGTTTCAAGCAGGCGTTCAGTTGGTCCAACAATCCAATTCCACCCCCTAGTAAATTTCCACTCCTACTCTCCAAGATGACACTTTTATTCCTCTCTCCTCCGACAGCCCTAGCCTTCCTCCTACTTGAGCAATTTAATCCTAGTTCTCTAAGAAAACAAGACATCACATAAAAACTACATCATCTTCCCAATTCCAAATCTACCTTCGTCTTTACCCAAATCGTCAGCGAGCGCTCCTTTTAACGGGGCCGAGATGTCCCTGTTTCACCTACAGCCAGCCCCTCCGTGCGTGCACCACGCTGGTCACACCTCCTCTCCGCCACTCGGCTGCTGCGCTTAGCCACTTTCTCCGCTCTTCCTTCAGCACACAGACACACCTTTCACAAAGTCTGTCCTTGGTCCTGTGTTCTCTTCCAACCATTTCTCTGCTCTCCAGCAAAACCCCATTCAAGATTTGCCTCTGCTGTTTGCATCCTGTGTCTGCTTTCATCCGCTTCAAACAGGCCTTCTCCCTTTACTCTAGTTCATACCCTCTGTATGACTCCAAACAGAACCAGGCTTTACTGTGTGTGCCCAGGCTCTGCATGGCACCTGACCTGGGCGGCCTCTCTGAAATAGAGCGGTGTCCTCACTGGGCTCCGGGGACACCCTGTCCTCCTGGGCCTGTGATCTAGTCACAACTAGTCCCAGTACCATCTCTAAGTAAGACGGGGTCTCCTGTGCTTTTGGAGTTAAGATGCTACCGAAAACCAAGCACAAGTGATAAATCTGATCTTACCTTTCAGGAAAATAAGACCTGAAAAGTCCAAAACATATGCTCAGAAGCCTTTTTATCTCAGAATTTACTAAGAAATTATTAAGCATATATCCTTTCCTCTCAATACTAAGAAACAGGGTTTAAATTTAAACACACTTATGTTTTTTGACTTGGAAATCGCACTTTGAGGGTCTATCCTCCAGAAATCATACAAGTGTACAGAAAACCCCCATTAGCACAAGCGTCTTCTCTGGCACCTATAGAGGGAAAAGCTAGGCACAAACCTAAATGTCTCTCAATAGGGGAATCATTAATTAAATGGAGGGGAAATAGAATGATACTGATGGAACAATTATACTGAACAAACAGAAAGTATAGGTGTTCATAAATACAAAGAAAAGTCTAGAAGGATATAAAAGGCAAAAACATCTCAGGATTTAATGTGAACTGTTGAGGGAAAGGAAAGATAGACTTTTTAAAAATATTCCTTTGTAAGTTATTTGATTTCAAGCATGTAATACTTTAAAATTTTTTTATCATTCTAAAGAAAAGACACATGATGTCTGTTTCTTGGGATTTTCCCTGATTCCCAAAGGATAAAGAAAAACCCTCATTTCAGCGGTGAGAGTATGTTACAAGGTAACTCAGGCTTCAAAGACATCTCTGCCACTGGACAGACCTAGGCATCATTTTGTAGGGATTGCAGACAATCAGGGTCACCAAAGTCACAGTCGATGAGCTTTCTTTTAACTAAAGAATTGGGAGTTTCGAGAACCCTCAATATTGCGGTAGCTCCCATTTTCTGAGAATTCCGTGCCAGTGCCTCCCCCGTGACAGCAGCAGCATCTCTGAACTACCTCCCTGTCCTCCCTCACCGTTCCTCTGGTTGTCCTGTGATATTCCTGTCACAGACCACTTCAGGCCACTCTCTTTAGCCTGAAAGCCAGGCACTGTCCTGAAACTTGTCCTGCTGCTCCAAACGCAGCCTGCCCCCAGCCCCCCGCAGCCGCAGGACACTGAAGGCCAGGTTATGGGAGACGCGCCATCAGGCCGTACAGAGGGAGGCCCCGGAAGGGCCCCCACAAGGTCAGAAAAACCCTTCGCGAAAGGTTCTTTTGCTTGCAACCTGAAGAAACACAAAGATAATATCCACAGATCTCTAATTTCAGTAACTCCAACGAGGCCCTTAGAAGCCACTTCATGCATGAGTCTCGGTTCTCATAGTTTCCAAGACCCACCCCTTGGGTTCCGGTGGCCTCCACTAGCCAGAGTTTTAGTTTGAAAGAGTGCACCAAAAAATACGTACCTCAGTTTTGGGAAACACTTTTGGAAAATTAAGCAGCTCATAAGCTGCCATTCTGATAATGAAAGGATCTAATATTCTTATTTGATACGGTTTATAGATCAGGTTTAAGGCTGGTTTCTTCCAAAAACCATTAGTGTTCTGAAATAAACAATATAGAAAATAAAACTTAGTAGTTGTCTTTTTTATGGGGCGAAGAAAACTGAAGGTAATCGGAAGGCAGATCACCGTGCCAACTCACTATTCTGCCGCTGGTCAACAATCCCCAGAGCCACTTTAAATCCTGCGGCTTAAAAGCAGTGAGAATCACCGTGGAATTGGGATCGTTGTGTTTGGGATCTGAAAAAACAGATTCTGGATAAAAAAGTCGGAAGGTTGTCCTTCTCCCAACTTCCTCTTCATGTCCTACAACGGGACCGTCGTTCATTCTGTGGAGAGTAAAACACCAGACATGTAGACCACCGGCAGCACAGGCCAGTTCCACCACAGTCCCCGGAGTCTCAGAGTGCGTCAAGCCGCCCGCCGCGTGTCCGGTCCTCGGAGGCACAGGCAGTCCGTCCATCTCTCACACGGAATGGCCGAGGAAATAATTCCCTTTTCTGAAACAGCTGCTTGATCAAAGCAGAAACTGGGGCTTGTATTTGAAAATTAATTGTGGGGGCACCGGTAATTGAGTCGTACCTCCAGGAAAGCTGAAGGCTGAATAAAACAAATGTAAACCTAAAAGAGGACTCGGAAGACGCTGCAACAAAACCTCTTGAATGTACAGATAAAGGCCCTGAGGTTCGCAGGGAGAAAGTTACTTGCCAGCGCTGCACATTCATGTAGCATGAAGACATGTGTCTAAGTGACTGACAGGCAAGCATCACACTGACAGTGAAGGCCCATCAAAACCATTATGCTCTGAAATTAAGTAACAACATGCAATTGCCGTTGTTATTATATAATATATAATACTATACCCACCCCCAAGCAGATGAGCACCTGCAGCTAGAGGGAACTAAGAAAGAACCGCAGAGGGCCTGCTGGGTTTGTCTGTGCTCAAAACCAAGGTCATATTTTGCACATGCTATGAAGGCATGCTATGAGAAGCAGTGCTTTGTTTCCAAAACACTGTTCCAAAGGAGAATAAATACTCTTGTACCCTTCACTGCTGACTCTGTGTAAGAAGTCAGTCTTAACAATGGAAACAGCTTCCATCAGGTTGTGCCCATGGCGTTTCCCCCAAGGGCTTGCTGTGGCTCCCTTGTTCCCATCTGCACTCACGTCGAACACCTTCACAGATCCTGGTAACACTGCCTCTGAAACACGACTCAGTCTCTCCACCCTGCTCCTCTGCTAAGACAACCCCGTTCCCAGTCACCACCATCCGCCTGCATACAGCAACCTAACCGGCCTCTTTGTGTCCACCCTCATCCCTCATATTCCAGTGTTTGTGCCACAGTCGGAATGCTTTAAAGGTAACCAAACTGAATTGCTCTCCTGCTTAAAAACCTTCTAATGTTTCCTGTCATACTTCAGGTAAAATCCAGGCTCGAATGCTAGCTTACCCAGTCTCACCCTGGCTTGCCCACCCCTCTCTCCCAGCCTGGGTTCTTCTGCTTCACTGGTTGTCTTGTTCGAACCCAGGGTGGTATCCCCCCAAGGACCTGCAGGAAAACACCCCCTCGGTCTACACTGCTTTTCTCTCGTCCCCCCAGGGCTAGCCGCGGACTGGTCACTCGATCCAGCTTAGCTGTCTCCTCCTCAAAGTGGCCATCCATCCTAAAGTGGCCATCCATCCTAAAGTGGCCACTCAATCCTTATCACGTATTTTGAATCCCATGTTTGGCACTTATTACTATATTTCTTACTTAATGACTGTTTTCTTCCCTTATTAAATTGTAAGCTTCACAGAGAACAAGAACATTGTTTATTTATTGCTATATCCCCTGCAGCTAGAACTGCCTGGCATCTTAAGGGAACTTAGTAAATATTTGCTCAGTGAGTGACCTGAAATCCAGCCTTACTCTAGCCAACAGCTGGGAGACGAAGTTGTGCAATGTACTGAAGATCAAAGTGGTCCCTCTCCTCCTTTTAAAGCACAGCTGTCCTAAAATAGGAAACCACATTCTTTTGAAACAGTTCCAATTTAGCAAATGAGAAATATTTACCTTATTATTACATCATAGGAGTCAATTTTTTCTCCTAATGTCTTATTCTTCAAAACTCCTCCGTTACCAACCACCACGCACTTTTTACACGGCACACTGTCGGGCAAACAGACAAGGGAGAGATCGGGTCATCAGTGAAAACGCCGGGTAATCGTAAGAACTTTCAGGAACCCAAAGCCAAATTTCACTTACTGCAAAGCAGAAATACAACCAACTGTGACTGGCTTTCAGGTTCGGGATGGATTAGAAAGATACAAACTTTGAGAAGAACAATCTGTAGGAAGTACATCATCACTAGCAACTATTAAGTCTTACCAGCTCACTGCCGTTCCCTGATTTGATTCTCATAACCACCCAACTGAGAGAAGTAATCCTGAATCACAGTTTTATTTTACAAATGAAGAAAGAGGTTCATAAAAATGTTAGGGAACATTTCAAAATCATACTCTGAAGAGATACAGGACTTTGAATAGAATTTGGATACAGATCTTGGAGCTACGAAAACTCCCCTCCACACAAGATGCTGCGTGTTAGTATTGATGCGAGTGTGTTTTCATGGTGCCTGTGTACACAGTTTTCACAGTGTCACCCGTCTCCCTGTGCTTCTAGCTCTGGGTTGCGACTGTATCTTGTGAGTGTGCAGACAGGTTGGAATCAGGTGGGGACGGTGCAGCTTCTTTGTACCTGCCCACGTCACACAAGTTCCCCAAATACGTTCTAGTCCTTCCAGCTTAACCAATACAAATTAAAAATTCATTCTGTATTCCTTGCAAAGGGCTTTAAAGTAGGGCACAGTGGGACCTCCTGTTGCTGGCGGGGACCAGCCTAGGACCCCAGACTGGGTCCCGTCAGCTCTCAGCAAATAGCATGGCCCATCTGTCTCTGGGCTCTTGCCACCACCCAGCCAGACCCCGAGAAAAGGACAAAACAGGTGGTGTGGTTCTCCTCCAGGGATGAAGCTACAGAGGGGCGGGCCGTTGAGACCACCCTCGTGACATGGACGTATAAGAGAAGACTTTTTCTGGGAACCAGAGAAGCACCACACTAGATGAACTCCAGACTGTAGGGCTTTTAGAAAACGCCAAGTAGCAAAATTGCACAAATGCTGTAGAATATTTAAACAAGAGAATGCCCTAGTACAGGAGCCATTAAAAATGCCAAGCATTGGCCCTACCAGGTTAGGAAACAAGGTGCACATTCCTATATGTTTAAGTTTACCTCTTTTATTTAGAATTTGTTCAGCTCATCTATTTGATATTTTCATGACCACATATTTTAAGAATACTTTTTACTTGTTTTGAGACTCTTAGCTCCCAAAATTTAAGAGTCATGTCCAAATCGGTGTCTACTTTGTTACAAAAATGAGAAGCCCCAGAGTTCCCCCAGGCACAGGGTTTAAAGGGGCTGGCGGGGGGAGGCGGGTGGGGACGCGGTTCCACAGGCCTTGAGGACACACCCCAAACCCTCTGTCATGGAGATGTCACTGTGTTCTAGAGATGCTTATTTTTAAACTGTTTGTCATTAACTATGAAAGTAACATCTCTAGATGCTTTTCTATGCAAGTTTGACATTCCTCCCAATTCCAGGAAGGCAGCTTTGTCAAGGGTGCCCTGCTCCGGCCAGGTGGAGAAGACTGGAGCCCTGGTAAACATTCGAATCCCTTCCTTCACCCAGGGGAGAGCAGGTGTGGCTCAGTGGGTTGGGCGCTGTCCTGCAAACCACAAAGGTCACCAGTTTGACTCCCCTGTCAGGGCCCACGCCGGGGTTGCAGGCCAGGGTCCCGGCCTGGGCGCGGGTGAGAGGCAACAGGTCCACTCAGTGTTTCTCTCCCTCTCCTTCTCTTTCTCCCTCCCTTCCCTTCTCTCTAAAAATAAATCAATAACATCTTTAAAAAAGAGAAAGAAAGCAGGAATATTGCCATATTCTGGACCAGGTCCATCCATAAATGCTCAGTAGCAATTCCCACTCACACAGTTTATTTGACTTTTTCTTCCATAACTTTGGGGTTGGCTTAATGCAAATGAGGCTGAACTCGAAGCTGGCTCCATCACCCCAGTGGAATGCTAAGCATACCGGGCAACGAGCAGGCAGCCCTAGGAATGGACAGGATCAACATAACAGCTGCGCTCCTGCCAGGTAAGCTTCCCAGGGGTGGAGGCGAGTATCTCCAATCACGGTAGCTAGACGAACCCTGCTCTTTGAATGAAGGCTGAGGCCACCTCCCTGTTACGGGAAAGGGCAGCCTTGGCCTGAGGTCAAGTGGCCCCAGGGCTACAGCTTCCATTTTGCTGTGGGGCCCCCAGCCTGACCCAAGCTGCCATCACCAACATGCCATGGTAGGAGCAAGAGCACAGCCCACCACCACGTCTCAGGGTCCTTACCCTGGAGTCTCCACAAAGGACTTCAGGCACCAGTAAGAGGCCAGCTCAGCTCAGTTCCAGTTACGTAAACAGCAGTTACTCCCTGCTCAGCGGTGCACTGACAGGCTGAGCCTTGGTGCTCACAGGAGGTCCCCTCAGTGTTATCTGCATCGGACTGGATTGCAGCTGGTCGTCGAGCCCTAGATCACGCATGGCCAAGGGAGCGCCACACATAATAAAAGCTGCCACCTGTCATATTAATATGTCCACACATAATAAAAGCTGCCACCTGTCATATTAATATGTCCACACATAATAAAAGCTGCCATCTGTCATATTAATATGTCCCATCTCTGCCCTGGCTGGTGTAGCTCATTGGGACTTTACCAGAAAAGTCCCTCATCGATCGTGAATGTATCTCAGCTTAGCGTTCAGAGGAGAAGAGCAGAAGTTTCCCCTGGCTGTGGGGAACCACCCAGAAACCCTGCCGGGAATCCCAGAGCCCCAGGACACAGTGCACATCCTCACAGGAAGCACCTCTAAGCACAGCATCATCTGTCTTCCCCCTCCTCACTGAAACCGAGGCTGCAGGAGCTCACAGGTGTTGTCTGTTCTGTTTGCTAACAAATTCCAGCACCTGTGCCTGGCACCGATCTGGCCCCTGCAGGCATTTGTTGAAGGCTTGAATAAATCCAGCCACACCCCTCCACCGCTGACAGGGGCAGCCAGACAGGCAGGCTGTGCCTCTGCCTTCTCTGCATGGCCTTTGGGTCTCCAAATCGTCATGGTGCCCTGCACTCTGGATGACCTGGGAAGACCCCCACTGAAATCCCAGTGGGTACAGAACTTCTTTACAGCATCAGGTGAAGTGCCCAACACCTGGGCTGCTCAGGTGTGAACCATCTCTGCCCTCTTCCAGGATTAGTGTTGCTGCAGGGACCCAGAGGGTCCTAGTGGGTGTCTCAGCTGCCTGGATTAGGGGTCCCTCTCCTCCGAGTGTGGACCCAGCTGGAAGGAGAAGTCCCAGGTTGGTGGGAGCAGAGCGCGGGGAGCGTCCCACCGGAACGTCCACCTTTGGGCTCACAGTGGGCGGGGAAGGTCGCCTCCTCACAGGCCCGACATACACTAGTCCTGCTGGGTAAATGAAAAAACAGAACATTTCTACATCATCTCTGTTCCCTCCCACCATGTTATGGGCTAAACTGTGCCTCCAGCCCATTCATCTGTTGAAGCTCTGACCTCCAGCACCCCAAAATGTGACTATATTTGGAAATAGGGTCTTTGAATAGGTGATTAAGTTGAGGTCATTAAGGTGGACCTTAGAGAACTCCAATTCTAAACATGTGTTACAGTTCAATAATCATCACATTTTTGGAAATTTCACTTTCCGTTTTCTTCTCTGTCAGCCTGGCAGGGGGCAGATGGAAAGTGAGAAGGCCCTTCGCCATAAGAAAAAGTTTGCCGGTGCCTCTGAAAGGGAACCTTGTCAGTGAAGTTGCACTTTTCCTCCTGATACAGGATATTGCAAAGACCCACACATTTCCCTGGGGATCTTACATAACACTAGAAATGGTTGTAGCCCCTGGCTGGTGTGGCTCAGTGGGCTGAGCATTGTCCTGCAAACAAAAAGGTCACCAGTGCAGTTCCCAGTCAGGGCACAGGCCTGGGCTGCAGGCCAGGTCCACACCCCCCCCATCCCCTAACTGGGAACGTGCGAAAGGCAGCCAGATCCATGTTTCTCTCCCATCAGTGTTCCTCTCCCTCTCTTTCTGCCTCCCTCCCCATCCCTCTATAAATAAATAAGTAAATAAAGTCTTTTTTAGAAAAAGAAAGAAACAGTTTTGGGGGTATCCCTAGGACTACACTTTGGCAATAATATCGTATCTACAACTAGTGTTTACCATGCTGCCGTGACTCTGGGAAATATATAAGATACCAACACATGGTCTGAACCACACGCCTCGAAACTCAGCACTTCCCTCTCTCCCCAGCAGGCACCCACCTGCCACCAAAGGAGTGATGCATCCTCTCCTCCCCACCAGGGCTAGGTCCCCGGCTTTCCCTGCTTCCTTAGATGTGAGACAATAGCTTCCAGTGTCCTCTGGGTGAGTGTCTAACTTCATTATCCATATTTAATTAACACAACTTTCATGCACAAACAGCTGCAGGGAACTGTGTGTCCCTAGAGGACAAGAATGGCATTCTTTATATTTCAGTAGTCTTCAGTCTAAAACTTCCATTCACGGGCTACGCGTTTTAGAGATCGGTTTGGTCGTGACATTAAGTGTGGTGGTCATTTTCCTACTCTGAGTCTGGACAAGCAGGCATCTGTTCTTCCTTCCCTGACCCTGGAAGCAGGCAGTGAGATGCGCATGCCCCAAACGGCACATCTGGAACACAAAACCGCTCCGGGAGGGCCTGAACCCGTTGGTGGGAAATCTGGGAGGCTGCAGATGCCATAACAGGTAGGGGGCTACACTTCCCCCAGGTGACAGGCGTGTTCCTCATCAAGTCAGACAAATGCAGAAGAGTTTCTACGGTGTGTGGAGGGAAATAGCAACAACATCAATGCAGAGAAAGTAAACTTAACAATTGTCCCTTTCAAGTGATCTTCCAAATGCTTTCTGACATTCACCTTCACCTCGGCAGCATCCCGTGCACTAACATATCACTCCATCTCCCACAAGCCACCACAGATCCCAGTGCTCACATTACAACAGCCAGTGTCCCTTGGGG